AGTTATCCCATCCTTCCCCAGCTTGGGACCTGCCTCCCCCCCCCCCCGCCCCCATCCCCCGAGATGTGCTGCAGTGCAGGCAGGTACCTTTGCCATTGCCCTTGGGGTCTCCCAGCGTGCTGATCATCACCTCCCCACTGGCCAGGCAGTGGCTGGTGTGAACGTAGCCCAGGCCACACTTGGCATGGATGTCCTCGGGCTCAATGACCTGGGGAGGGGAAAGGAATGGCAGGAGAATCTTACAGGCCTGGGAGTCCCCACGCCCCACTCCTTCACTGCCCCTCCCCCGTTTCTTCCTGCTGACCAGTCTCCTTTCCTGCAAAAGGACACAGTTTCCCTGTGGGAATGTGGCCGGGATTCAGTCTGGTCACTGAGCAACAAGAGAGCGTCAGAGAGGCTGCCAGCTCCTGAGGCAGAAAGCACTGGCCTCAGCCCCTCAGCCCCGAGGCATAAGCTGCTCGTGGGACGGGTCAATCCCAGCATCCACTGCACACCGGCAGCAGCAGCGAGTGCCCGCGGAGGAGTGTTGGGGGGAAGGATCGCAGGCTCTTGCCTAAGGGCGGCCCTGGGCTCCTGACTAGCTGGGAAAATGCTCTCCCGACTCAGAGTCCAAACAAGAAGCCGCCACTGCCCTCCAGTCCCTGCCCCGCGGTGCTGATTCAGGCCGCCCGGGGTGGTGGGTACATCAGGGTCCCCGAACGAGCGGCAGGGGCAGAGGACATGCCTTGTGCAGCTTCGGGGCGCGGGGCTCGGCGCCCACATCCACCACGTAGACGCGGGAGGAGATGATGCAGGGCAGCACCAGCTTGCTGCGGGCCTTGCTGCTGTCCCCGTAGCAGCTGCTGCACGTGTTCCATCCCGAGTGGTGCAGCTCGTCCTTCAGGTTGGGCATGGGCAGCCGGTGGATGACCTCGGGTGGGCAAGGGGCAGAGGGAGGTGCTCAGCCAGGCCACGCCCCTGCTCGCTTAGGGAACGGGTGCCCACTGGACCCACTTTGGTGTGCAGTGCAGTGCAGGCTGGACCCTCACTCTCCCCTCGCACCTCTGGGGTGCCTTGTGCAGTGAACAGCTGCCCACACCCCCCCCTCCCCCGCCCCATACTCAGGAGGACGAAGGAGCGTGGAGCTGCAGAAGGGCATCCTGGGGCCAGGCTGCAGCAAGCATCGTGGGGTACTTTGCTGCCCAAGCCCCACCTACCTGGCAATACTGGGGAGACTTGGGGTCAACGTCCACTGTGGCTAGATAATCCGGGGCCTCAATGCCTGTGTTTCGGTAAATACAGGGCAGGTAGACAATCTCCTCCCTGGGCCCTGGGGGTAGAAAGCAGGCGGTGGGGATGGTGGGTGGAGAGGAATGGCAGGGACAGCGCTGGCTGTGCCCGAGCGGGGAGGCCGGGGTCTGAGGTCCCCCACCCCCAGCAGGTGAGGCATCAGTAGAGGGCGCTGGCTTGCAGAGTTCCTTCCCAAGGTGGAGTCTCCAACATGGCGGCCCGCTTACCTTTCATGGCCTCCAGAGGAGTAGGGTACCCGGGTCCACAGCTCCCGCACTTGGTGGCTGTGGAAACAGTGGGCAGGGGCCTGGACCACACTCTGGAGGGTGAAGCTTCCTCCCTACCAGCTGCAACCCACACCCTCCCATGGCCAAGGCAGACTTGCTGTCCCTCCAGTCACTCCAATCGTCCTCTCAGCACCTCAAAGCCCTGACGGTGCTGGGTGTGACCACAGGGGCTGTACACATGTGACCTGAAGGTGGACAGACACTCAACAGGACCCAGGGGAGGGCAGGAGAAGGACCAGTGCAGTGGAGGCTGGATGGTGCAGTGGTTATGCTGTGGACTTGGGCCCCATTTTCAGTTGGTCACGCAGTAAACACGGGAGCTGAGGCACATGACTTAGCCTCGCCCGCATCTGCTTCTCACGGAAGTACCGGAGAGGGCTGGGCCAGGAAAAACTGGCTGTTCCCCAGGAGCAGCCCAGAGTGGTGCTGTTCACTTCCTCCCCCAAAAAGCCTGTTCCAGGGACGGGGCCACTCCCCTCTGGGTCCTGACCCCAGGCCTGGCCAGAGCCTGGATTATACAACTGGTCTTGTCAGGGTCTGGTGAGGCTTAGAGGCTGCCGTTTAAGGCTTCCGGGCTCCTGGATGTCCTTAGACCAGTCTTACCTCTGGGTGGACCCCCTTTCTTCATATGCACAATAGAGGGTTTGGCCCACTCTGAAAGCCCTCCCACCAGGGCTGTAGGGAGGGGCTCTCCTGTCCCCTGAAGTCTGGCCAGAGAAGCCACACTGATCTATGGGAAGAAAGTCAACTGCTGAGAAGGAGGCTGCGGGACCAGGCCTCGGGCATCAGGGTTCGGGCCTGACCAGGAGGAGGAGTCACAGAGGCAGCTGCAGGCTGGAGGCAGTCCCTGCGCGCAGCTCTCAGGCCTGGGCACTCCTACCCTGTCCCGGGCCCTCTGTCCAGTGTCCTGACAGCTGGGGCTGCACGTGGGGAGCCGGAAGGAGCCAGGGCGGAGCCGGCACTGTGCCTGGGCCCAGGCCTTCAGCCAGGGAGCAGGTCCCACTCCTCGCAGCTGCCCAGGGCTTGGGCGGCCGAGAGGCAGTGTTTGAGAGTCCAGGTGTGATAACCACTCTCTCCGCTTTCTCTCTGTAAAAAATCAATAAAATATATTTAAAAAAAATATATCGACCTTCTTCCCTAGGGGGCTATGAAGGTCAAATACAACTGTGCTCAGGAGGACTTTTGAAAAGGAGAGACCATCCTGACTTAGGCATGGGTGGGTACCAGGAAGGGTGGGGGTCCCAGGCAGATTCCCACTTGGTGCCCTGAGTGGGGTGGGTGGGGAGTGGGAGGTGGGGACAGGGTGAGAGAGGTCCAGTCCAAAGGAATTAGGGGACGTGCTCTGTTCCACAGCCAGGCGGTCAGAACGTGGCAGGGAAGATGCGGGGGAGGGGAAGGAGGGTCTGGACACAGAGAGGGAAGGAGATTCAATCCTCCAGATGTGAAGACAGAGATACAAGCCCTGCCAAGCCAGCAGAGTCCGAGAGCAAAGGTACGAAGGAGGTGATGCCGCCTGCATGGTCGCCCCTCAGCCAGGGAGCATCAGCCTTTTCCTGGGGACCGCCCCCCCCCACACACACACACAAGCATCTCAGGCCGAGATCTCTGAACATCTTTGGGCTTGAGGTGAACCCAGGAAGTTCATTCAGTTTTCCCAGGGCCAGGCTGGCTGCTGGGCACCCTGCCAGCCAGGAGAGAGCCAGATTTAAGGGGACAAGGACTTTGACACTTTCAGACCCAAACTCCTCCTCAGCCTGACATCCACTCCCATGGACGGGGGAAGGGGAGGACTTTGGCGACTGAGAGGATGGTGGTGAGGCAACAGGCCCCTGGGAGAGACTGTGGGCTTCCCCCTCCCCCAGGAGGGACTGGTGATCTGGGGTAGCTAGAGAGCAAGCCTGTGCATTGGAGGCCTGGGCTCCCTGCTCCCCGAAGAAAGCAGCTGGCCCAGGGCTGAAATCAGGATTGTGCCTCTTGTGGTGACTGCCAGGGGCACAGAGGTTCCACTCCCAAGTGCTCAGACCTGATCTTCTCAGCTGCAGAAAGGCGCCCTGTCCCCAGGCCGTAGCTGGGGAGCCAGCGGTCACCTTTCCCAGCAGTCCCTCCACCCCCCTTCCCAGCACCTCCAAACCTCACGTTGGCTCAGCTGGTACATGCAGGTGTGGGGAGGAGGAGGGGACGGAGGGTCCGGATCCAGCCCTCTGTTCCGTAACCAGCTGCCCCCAACCCAGGTTTCTGCCACTTCCTGCAGGTGGTCCGGGTTGTGGTGCCGAGGCCTACTCCTTACCCATGCTGCTGGCTGGTACGTTTGGGTCCTGCTGGGACTGCCAGGAGCGGGCAGAGGAGGAAAGCTGCGCTGTAGTCAGAGGCAGAAGTTCCTGGGAGGCTGTCCCGGGCCAGGCGCAAAGGGAAGGAATTTATTTGACCATTGGGTTTGGGCGGAGCAGAGGGCGGGCCAGGCTGCAGCCAGAGGGAAGGACTAAGGGCAGCTGGCCAGGAACTCTCACATGGCTGGCAGCTGGAGTTTGAGTAACAGGGAGTGTGTGTGTGTGTGTGTGTGTGTGTGTGCGCGTGTGCCTGTGCACATGCAGCTCTGTGTTGTGCCTGCGTGTGTATCTCCTTCATGGGTGCCTGGGCATGTGTGAGTTTGTGTCTGAGCCTGTGCGTGCTCCTGTCACCTCCGTGGTGCCCCTGTGGGCGCTTCTGTGTATGTGGCTGCATGAGTATGTGCTGTGTCTGTGTCTGAATATGTGCCTGCGTGCACACATCTGTGCTGCTGTTCTGTATGAGTGTGCCTGTGTGGATGTATGTGTGTTTCTGGACTTGGACATGTTCTGTGTGCTTATGGGACGTGTGCCTGCCAGGAGATTCAGCCTGTGTGGGCATGTGCACATGTGCCCTGTGGGTGGTGTGACAGCGTGAGCGCCCATGTCCTGCACGTGTTCCTGGGCCTCCTTGGACCTGGCCTTGGACTTGTCTGCCGGTGTTCGGGGGCACCCGGAGCGGTGGGCCTGCTTGCTTCTCCTCGCACAGCCACGTCAGCTCTCCCTGGATGGTACTCTCATCCCAGACACCTGTGCTCACCAGGCCCGGCTCTGCCATCCCATGGCCCGCAACACCCCCCCCCTCCCCCCCCGTCTTCCTGCCGCAGCTGCCTGCCAGGAACCAGGTTCCACTTTCTCCTGCCCATTAATTCCCTTCGAAATGAGGGAAACTCCTCAATGCCCATTATTACCTCCCTAAACCTCAGGAGGCGGACGTGGACTGCCTCCCCCTCACGTCCCAGCTGGTGCCTCAGCGGCTCCCCAGGGTCCAGGGCCCAGGGGCAGCCCCCAGGCGGCCTCTGTCCCTAGCTGACCTAGGACCAGTCACAAGACTCAGGGTCTTCATCTATCCAGGAGGGAGTGCCCAGCCAAGGATTCAGTGATGACCAGGGTGCTGAGCCTGCTACTCCCAGGGCCAGGCCACGGTACCCAGGCGAACGGCACCCGCTTGCTGAAGAACAGAAGCCAGACCGAGGCCTGATCTGTTAACTCTCTGGGCTGTCTACTCCAGAGTCGCCGGGGCTGGAATGTCTGGACAAGGGAACTCCCCCAAACTGGTCTCCATCCTGAAGCCAAGCTCCCTCTTTCCTCCCAGGTGGCTGCCCAACAGGGTGACCCCCGCCCCACTCTTCGAGGAGCCGTGTCCACAGTCATTTTCATCCCCCTGATAAAAGCTTGGGCGCAGTGCTTACTGGGTAGTGAAAGGGACACATTTTGGCTTGACGTCGCCAGTGGAAAGAGCCACAGGGTTTCTGAACCGGAGTGGAGGGAAGGAGGCCAAACTGGTCCCCAGTGTGAAGGGTGTCTGTCCCCCTGGCTCCCATGGGTGAGGAAGATGCCCTGTGGCTGCCCAGGGCAGGGGTCCCCTCCCATCCCCACCATCACTCATGGCCCGTGGCCCTTTCCTGTGCCTGCGTCCTCACCACTGCACCGTCAGTCAGCCCGGGCGCAGCTGCCCTGCAGACGGTGGCCCCTCAGGGCTGCTTCTTCCCCTTTGCTAGTCCCCTGGCTGCCTCCACTCACCCTGCCTTCGTCCTGCCCCTCGGGCTCCCCTTCTCCGAGGGCCCCATCTCCTACCTCCTCTCTACTCGCCTGCTTTTTGGCTTGAAGTAGCCCAGCACCCAAGACACCTCATCGCCAGCCTTTTACCAAAAGCTCTGGAGTGTTTAACTCCCCAAAGCAGTTCTTTTGCTCGTTCCGGAGCCAGTGGTTGACGGCCAGTTCTCTCATGCTCTGCTCTGACCTGGCGGGTCTCTGTGGTCCTCCAGGGCACCCTCACCTCAGGGTTTCTGCCCAGACTCACGGCCCCAGATGCAAAGGTGTACAAAATGCTCACTTTTCCAAGCCCGCGGGCTGTGCTGTGCTTTGTGTGTGTGTGGGGGGATGGACCAGAAGGAATGGTGAGGGTTTGGCATCTGTTTTTGGAAGCCTCAGGACAGAGAGGCTCTTGCTCTGAAATGGGGAGAGGAGTGGAGAACAGATGTTCCTGACGGAGCAGGTGGGTCTTCATGAGGAGGAGGAGGAGGAGGAGGAGTGGAGGCACCTGTGAGGGAAGAAGGACTGAAGGGCATGCATCCAAGGGCTAACCATGGTTGTCTGGAGAGGCACTGGGAGGAGGGATCGAAAATCCATGTGTACTTGCTTTACTTCTGTATTTTTTAAACTAATGAGCATATATTACCTTAGTAACTGTCCCAATTATGTCCCAATTATTTATCTGTCTAGACTTAGTGGGACAAACACAGGTGACCAGGAGTCAGCAATAAGGGCCTATCCCCTGGTACTTCAATGACTAGACAGCTGAGCCGAACCGGAACACATGAACCCACAAGACAGAATTAGTATGCAGTCACACAGGGTTTATTTACCTATTCCTAGTGGGTCCTAGGCTCCGGCAAAGGCCACCCGGCGATGCACACCGAAAGACGGACGACGAAGACGGAGACAGACAGGCGGCCGCAGTTGGTTCAGGCTCGCACAGCAGAGCAGTTAATCAGGGACTCGTCTCATGGAGTGACGTGGAGTCCGCCTCTCATCAGGCAGGAGACGTCCCCTGGAGAAAAATCTGGTGCTTATATAGCCGGTGGTAAACAACTGTGTCTTATCAGTGTGGGCCAGATGGTGTGCCTTATGCTAGGAGCAGGGTGTTTACGCTTTAATGGCTTAGGGCGTTCACATCAAGATAGGGGGGTGTTCACCACATTTTGGAAGTTACAGAGTATTGGGGTCTTCACACAGCAAACATTTCACACAATAATTATTTCCACACATTAGAGGGGTTTCCTTATGACCATAACATTAGATAGAGATAGAGATAGAGAGAGAGAGAGAGAGAGAATGAAGGATGGAAGATCCTATGTGGTGCAGGTTCGGCCACGGGGGAGCCCACGGGGAGGACCGACCCTGGTCCCGCCCTCCCTGCAGCTGTCCCACCAACCGGCCTGCCGAGTCCTCTGGAAGACACACACGCGCATGCTCCATCATTCATTCATTCTTGCGCTCCACAAACATTTCTCTTTTGGCAAAGAAAGTGGTGAACAAGACAAAGTTTCTGTGGTCGTAGAGAGAACCTTCTAAGGGAGGCGGCCAATGACCAAGGTAACATATAAACAAGTAACATCCTTTCAGGTGAGGGCTATGAAGGAAGCAGGAAAATGCAGGGTGACTGAGCGTGGGACATTTGACAGGATTCTCTGGGACACACAGGCACAGAATTGTACGCAAGGAACGAAAAACAGCCACCACACAAAGGCCGACAAAATGCCTGTAGCGGACCGGGTGGCGGCCTGCGAGGCCTGAAGCAGGACTGGCTGGACAGGTTGAGGTTTTGAGGAGCTAAGCAGAGTTTCTGAGGCCGAACCTGCTCGTTTTAACAGCTGTCATTTAACATTTAACAGACCAACTAGAGGACCTCAGAGGAAGGGAGTAGCGTTTACTGACCTGTTACGGGGTGTGACTAGGGTGGGCCGGAGCCCTGCCCCCCAGCAGTTAGGGCAGGTGCCGCCCACAGCCAACCTGGAGAGGTATTTACATAGCCTTTTCATCTCACATCAAGGACGCAGAGTTTTACTCATTCATCCAGCTGTTCACACTCATCTCACAGCACCTCCCTGAGTTCTGTGCCGAGCCAGCTCAGCCAAGGGTTCCGCAAGCCTGAGTGAGGGCGGTCAAGGATGAAGAAATAACAAAGAGAATAAGCTGGGTCTGGGTGGATCTTCCTGTGCCTGGCTGAGGCCACAGAGAGAGACCCAGAGAGTAAGCTGAGCCTTTATTTTATAGCCAAGAGGTAAACAAGGTAGTGGTCACCATAGTTACAATGTTCTTGTGAGTTTCACTTGTTTTGGCAGGGCTTGCTGCATCTCCCTCAGCCCATTAGCTCCCCAGATAAGAACTAGGGAGCATCATAAGGTCAAGCCTAATTATGCTAAGAGGGCTGTGCCCTCTAAACTGGGACTTGTTTGTGGCTATGCCAACAGGTCAATCGGAGGCTTAATCCTATAGCCGCGCCCTACAAGTTCAAGTTCAAGGCAACAAGGTAAATAAAATAAAAGCCAATGCCCTCTGCCAGGGCTTCCCAGGAAAGGCATGATGTGAGAGGCACTTGGAGGGCTTCCTCTCCACCTCCATTCCACTCGGAAATACTCTCTCTTTGCCCCTGGCCCGGTAGCTCAGTTGGTTGGAGCATCGTCCCATACACCAAAGGGTGGCAGGTTCGATTCCAAGTCAATATTCGTTCAGTGTTCAAATTTCCCCTACCGTCACATACATCTTTGTATTACAGTTTACTTATTTGAATCAAGATCTAAAGAGGGTCCATACCTTTCTATTGTCTCTTCTGATAAATCTCTAAAATCTTGTTCATCTCACGTAGGTGAGAAAGGGTGGTACCTTGAAGACTGGTCTTCTGTTTAAGTGAAGAAGGGTCTGACCAGAACAGAAATGAGGTTACGCGTCTTGCTACACATCTAATCAACAGGGAAGAAGGTGACGTGGGTTTGCAAACCAATCGTGTGGCCTAGAAGAGGTACCAGCCGACCTAGGTTACAGGGACTCAGGCGAAAGCTTGCCCCCTCACCCCCTACCCCAGCCTCGTCAGGGGCCACGCCTGGCTCCAGAAGAGCTGAGACCAGAGCCATAAAGCGGCTTTCATGCAATCATCTCCGCCTTTACAGAGGTCCACTTGGCTCTCGCATCTCGGTTAAGAGCCCTGGAAAGAAAGAATTGCATCAGTCTTAGTTAATGGCCCCAATTAAGCCATGAAAACCCTGAGGGTAGCCTCAATTTGGACATGTTACAATACTGTAAAGAAAATATCCAAAGGAAGTTAAAAGCCATTTCTATTTGAGGCTGGCAGGTCCTTTGGTCCCTGGAGTCAGATCTCTGAGCCAGCTTCTCTACTGCAGCTCCAGACAAGCAGGAACATATCCCCCCAAAGTCCCGGGGAGCCCAGGACCCTGGTTTTGTCAGCTCAGCACAAAGATGCCGCCCGGGAAGGGGGTGGGGGATACGCCTCCAAGAGTCCCAGCGAGACTGGCATCCCCCAGGCGTGACAGACCCGCCTTCAGTTCTACCTGGAATTGGAGGGAGGCCCGGGAAAAACCGGGGGCCTGTCCTGGATTCTGGCTCCCGTGCACCATCGCTATCCTGCTGTTTCCACCAGGACCTGCCCAGGGTCACAGCCATGAGTAGAAATGTGGAAAGGGCCACCCTGGGAAAGGAATATGGTGGTAGTTCCTCTTTCCGCTTGTCAAAAGTCTGCTCAGAAACCGGAGTTTAAAGAGGCTTAAACGGGAAAACGTTGATTGCTCCGAATACACAAAGATCTCCAACCAATCAATTAGAAAAAGACAAACAACACACAGAGAAAAAGATTCCAAGGATATAAAAATGAAGGATCAACGGCTAACAAACATAAAAAAGATCCCAATCTCATTAGTAATGAGAGAAATGCTTGTGAAAATATATGATCTTAAAAAATAAAAAAGACTTGTAATATATATAGGTGGGAGAGAGTGTGAGAAAGGGCATTCTTGTACTTTAATGGCAAGAGTATTAAATTGTGGAACATTTTTATAAGGCAATTTAGCAACACCAAGCATCATTTTTAATAGAAATCCACTTCTAGTGACCTACTCTGTGGAAATAAACGAGTACTCAGATATATGAATAGGATGTTCATTGCAACTTGTTAACAATAGTGAAAAGTTGGAAAAAACCAATAGAGGAATAGTTACACATGTCACGAAACATCCATAACGTATAGCTTTCTATATACTGGCATGGAAAGATAGCCAAGAAATATGCTGAGGGGGGAAAGCAGAAAACACTATGGTCCCATTTAATGAAAGCTATATATAAAATTAATCAGTTAAACCATATAGTCTTAATTAATTAACTTGATTATTTTATATATTACTTTATATGTAATATATAATTGGTATGTACATTAATTAATTTGATTACATTATGCATGGGGTTATCTGTTAATAGAAGAGAATTTGTGGAGATAAAGATTTTTTTATTATACCAAATGCAACTACAAGCTGCAAAAGCTCCCGGCTCAAGCTCTGCTGGTGCAGCCAGGGCTGCACTTGGAGTCCGAGGAGAGGCAGTGTTCTGAGGGTGGGGTCTCTGGCTGCTCCCAGCAGCAGTTCAAGTACACCCACCCCTGGGCCTTTTCACTCGGAACCAGCGCTGCTTGACAAATTGGGGGATCCAGGAGGCTGTGGCAAGCAAACCCAGGAGGTGGCCCAAAAGGGATGCTGAGGCCCAGGCCACTTGAGCCAGTAACAGTTCTTCCCTTGATGGTCTTTTGAGCTTCTGGTCCCTATAGAAACCAAATATGGGACCGTGGGACACCACGTGACTTTGAGACCCAAAGCACCTCACTGGCCCAGGTCTCACAAGCCCCAGGGTTCCTCACCCTCAAGTAAGGTGGATCCTGAGAAGATCCTGGAGAAAGAAAGAAGCCACAGGGTGCCCTGGCGTGCTCTCTAGCCTTCCCTCTCTTGCCAAATAGCATCTCCTTCCTCAGTCTGTTCTAATGGCTCCAGGAGAAGTTATGCAGGAAAGATATTGAGAAGAAAAATCATTCCAGCTTATATTACAGGAAGATAGTTATGGCCAAACCTTCCAAGTCTAGAGTATAGTTTATCCTCTGAACCAGCAACCAGAGTCCATGCTGGGCCCAGAAACAGAGAGAGGTGGGATGGAACCTCTCACTCTTTCCCCTAATAACCCATTCACAACATTTTTGCTTGCAGGGCTCAACTCTGGGCTCTGCTGGTTTTGAGGTTTGGCATCCAGTACAAAGGAGACACCAATAGTTCCTTGAACTGGAACTGGAGACAACTACCCAGCCATTTGGGGCAGAAATGGGGGACAAGATATTAGCTGGGTGATTGATCCTAATGATTTAGAAATAATAATGTTCCTGTCCTATGGCAGGGTCAGGGAGGGAGATACCCCAGGGATGCCTCGTACCTCCATGTCTAGAGTTAAATTAACAAAAGACTAAAGCAGCAGAAGCCAGATAACTGAGCGCTCAGATCCTCCAGGAGTGAAGGTGTAGGTCGCTCCACAACAGTGGTTCTCAACCTTCTGGCCCTTTAAAAATACAGTTCCTCATGTTGTGGCCCGACCATAAAATTATTTTCGTTGCTACTTCATAACTGTAATGTTGCTACTGTTATGCATCGTAATGTAAATATCTGATATGCAGGATGGTCTTAGGCGACCCCTGTGAAAGGGTCGTTCGACCGCCAAAGGGGTCACGACCCACAGGTTGAGAACCGCTGCTCCATAAGGAAAGAGCCATGTTAGCCCTGGCTGTCTGACAGAGTGGTTTAGAGGCTGCGCTCCGGTACCAGACTACCTGGGCTCAAATCTGGGCACCAACACATGCTCTCTGTGTGCCTCTCTCTCCTTTAGTTTCCACACCTGTAAAATGTGGATAATAATAGCTCAGACCTCGAGTGGCTATTTGAGAATTATGTGAGTAATACTTGTAAAGCTCTTAGGACAGGGTCCAGCATGTAGCAAACACTCTATAAATGTTAGCTATTATTAAGAAAGGGAACAAGAGGAAAGTCATAAATACCAGCCAACCACAGTATCAGGATCAGTTGCCAGAATGAGAACAGCACACACAAAACCTCGTATGGGAATGCTTATACCACTTTCATTCATAACAGCCCAAAACTAGAAAGAAACAATTGTGATGTCTCTCGAACTGTGGATGATTAAACAAACTGTGGTACATCCACACCATGGTGATTACCCAGCAATAAAACAAACAAACAAACAAACAAACTATTGTGCAGCATGCAGCAAAGGAAACCGTCAGCAAAATGAAAAGGCAATCTACTGAATGGGAGAAAATATTTGCAAATCATATATCTGTTAAGGGGTTAATACCCCAAAATAAATAAGAAAATCATACAACTCAATAGCAATAAGATTATATAGATTATTGGATTAAAAAAATCAGCAGACGTTCTGAATAGACATTTTCCCAGAGAAGACATACAGACATACAGATGGCCAACAGGTCCATGTAAACGTGTTTACATCGATAATCATCAGGGAAATGCAAATCAAAATACAATGCGTATCACCTCATACCTGTTAGAATAGCTATTATTAAAAAAAAAAAGAAATAGCAAGTGTTGGTGAGGATGTGGAGAAAAGGGTACCCTTGGAATAGTGGACTTTTTGTCTAGTTTCTAATTTGAATACTTCAGCAATTAATATCTGTATCATTAGTTTTTGCCAAAAAGGCGTTATTATGTTCATGTCTTCTACTTACATTCCTATTTTGCAGAATTTTATTAGGAATGGCTACTGATTTTCATAAAGTGTTTTTTGGTGGGCATCTGTTTGTATGATCCTATGGGTTCGCTCCCTTACTTTATTGATGTAGTGAATTATGTTCACAGAATTATTAAAAATAATAAATTTGCCAAACCGGTTTGGCTCAGTGGATAGAGCGTCGGCCTGGGGACTGGAGGGTCCTGGGTTCGATTCCGGTCAAGGGCATGTACCTTGGTTGCGGGCACATCCCCAGTAGGAGGTGTGCAGGAGGCAGCTGATGGATGTTTCTCTCTCATCGATGTTTCTGACTCTCTATCCCTCTCCCTTCCTCTCTGTAAAAAATCAATAAAATATATTAAAAATAAATAAATTAATTAAAAATGCTGTGTTTATTGGCATTTAAAAAAATTAAAAAAATAATAAATTTAATATCCATAAATTATATGAGGAAAAAGATGAATTCTTTTTTTTTAAAATATATTTTATTGATTTTTTACAGAGAGGAAGGGGGAGAGATAGAGAGTTAGAAACATCAATGAGAGAGAAACATCGATCAGCCGCCTCCTGCACATCTCCCACTGGGGATGTGCCTGCAACCCAGGTACATGCCCTTGACCGGAATTGAACCTGGGACCTTTCAGTCCGCAGGCTGACGCTCTATCCACTGAGCCAAACCGGTTTCGGCAAAAGATGAATTCTTAAAGATCAAGAAATGATTCTATGGAAAGGTGAACAATATTTCTAGCTGGGAAAATTTAATATAAAAAGTCATTCTCAAATTATTTAGTAATTATTGTCCATTAGGAATTACCATGGATTTGAAGGAATAGAAGAAATTATTTTAAAGTTCATGTGGAAAATAAATGAGTGGCAAATGCCTATAAATCTACAATAATCAAAACTATGTAGTAAAGACAGACATATAGATTAATGGGTGTCAAGACCATTCAATGAAGAAGAGGCCGTCTTTTCCATAAATGGTGCTGGGAAAACTGAATATCCACATGCAAAAGAAGTTGATCCTTTTTTTTTTAATACCATATATAAAATTAACATAAAACAGATAAGATCTAAACATCAGAGCTAAAATAAGAACACTTTTGGGGGAAAAAAAACACAGTGGAAAATCTTCATGATATTGCATTTGGCAATGATTTCTTGAATATTGACATCAAAGATATGGCTATGACATCAAAAATATGGGAACAAAAGAAAAATAGATAACTAGGACTATGTCAAAATTCAAATCTTCTGCGTATCAAAGGGCACTGTCAAAAGCCAAAGCCAACCTCAGTTCCTGCCCTGGTGGGTCTTTTAGTTTAGCGAGGCAGACCGGCTCCAGACAAGTGTGGCGCATGCTCTGAGAGGGATATGGTAGAACTGAACTACAGAGGGTGTAAAACTGCAAACTCCTCAGGGGAGACCCACAGAGCAGTGCAGCCATGGGCAAGCTGGACAAGTTTTCTCTCTCGGCTTTGTGTTATAGTCCCTGGGGCCAGGCTTACGCAATTCGGGAAAAGATGCTTATGTGACTCTTTTGTAGTTGAAGATTCATTTTTCACTTCTCCTAAAAAAACAAAAACGGAGTAGTAGAGATGTTTATGAGATGGTGGTCATAGCGGTTTAGTTTTATTTATTTTCTGAGAATTTCAGGACATTTCCTATAACCAAGGACATTCTGCATATTATAAAACCCAGTCCAGTCATTACTGACTTAAAAACTTAAACTTGTTGGGAGCTAAATGCTAATAAAAATGAAAGTAATAGACAACCACAGAAAATGGGTACACTTAAAAGTGTTCCTCCATAATATCAGACCTGCTTTAAAAAGAAAAAGAAATATTCCAAAAATTCCCTTGTTGCAAGTTTAACTCATGTCTTTTTGAGCTCACCTTAGAACAGAACACTGCTGGTCACCTTCTGAGTCCTGCACCATCAAATGTCGGTTTGCTTTCTGTGCCATCCTCTTCGGCTGGATAATTCCAGATCCTTTCACTTTTCTGCTTTAAGACCCTATGGCAGCGGTTCTCAACCTGTGGGTCTCGACCCCTTTGGGGGTCGAACGACCCTTTCACAGGGGTCGCCTAAGACCATGGGAAAACACATATATAATTATATATTGTTTTTGTGATTAATCACTATGCTTTAATTATGTTCAATTTGTAACAATGAAAATACATCCTGCATATCAGATATTTACATGACGATTCATAACAGTAGCAAAATTACAGTTATGAAGTAGCAACGAAAATAATTTTATGGTTGGGGGTCACCACAACATGAGGAACTGTATTAAAGGGTCGCAGCATTAGGAAGGTTGAGAACCACTGCCCTTTGGAATTTGGCTACCTGCCAGACCTCTGGAACCAAACTGGCCCTATCAGAGCCTTAATCTAGAGACTTAAAAGGGAGTGAGACCAGAAACCAGCAGCCACCTCTGGCCACTTCTAAACAAGGATATAGCCAGTTTATTGCTGGCTGATTGATTTAAGTTCATATGGTGAGGGCTCTAGTGGGGAAAAGGGAAGTACTTATGGGTTTTTGAGGAATTCCAGGAAGCCCATTGTCATCACACCTGAGCATCTGTTTTTTGTTCAAGTAAGCTGATGAATGGCCCAAAAATCACCTGGAATATGGGGCTTGGGATGTGGGTGGCTATTAATTAAAGCCAAAAAAAAAAATACTGATTTTTCAAGATCAAAAGTTGATATAAAGAGGTGGGTGCCTCTAACATACAAAATTCTTCTTTTTAAAACAGAGTTTTTAAAAATATATTTTTAAAACTAATTTCAGAGAGGAAGGAAGAGAGAGATAGAAACATCAATGATGAGAGAGAATTATTGATTAGCTGCCTCCTGCACGCTCCCCACTGGGGATCGAGCCCAAAAGCTGGGCATGTGGAACCTGGGACCCTTTAGTCCGAAGGTCGACGCTCAATCCACTGAGCAAAACGAGCTAGGGCCATGCAAAATTCTTGACTCTTCCCTTTCCAGGGTTTCATGATCTAATAAAATATTTTGTTTTTCAATAAGGTTAAAATGTCATGCATTGCTTTGGTTCAAATCAACTCAGGAAATTTAAGAAACAAAATCAATTTGGTTTCCATCTGAGTAAAAAAAAAAAATTGACATTCAAATTGTGTAGGGAGGACTGCCCAAGTAGTGGTTTTAGGTTCCCCAGTTTGATTCTAGAGACACTGCTTTCAGCCTAGACCACAGAATCAGAAGCGAAGCCCTGGAATTTAGTTTCACTCCCACAGTCGGTGGAATTTTTCTTTTGCTTAAGCGGTGGGCAAGAGCATGTTCTCATGAGAAAACTTGGTCCTATGGAGTGAGTAATCCACGAGAGACAGGCATAATTGTACGGTTCCTTTTTACCTACTGGGTTTGAAGACCCAGAGCTGCCACCACTAGCTGTGGGATCGGGTAAATCACTACCACCCACGCCTCGGTCTCTTACCTATAGCGTAAGCCGATAATGCCTGCCATGTGGGGATGCTCTGAGAAACTCGGTGTAGGCTGATTCACTACTAGTCTCATGTGGGGCTTTCGGTAAGGATCCAAAATGGGCAGGAGAAATTCTGCCTCCGCGCTCAGGGGAAGTGTCTCGGAGGCCCCCCTAACGCCCCCATACCTGCCTCCCACACCAACCGGTCTTCCTTAAATCTGGGCTTCGGAGAGGCCCGATTTGGTCCACACTCTCAGGCGGACTCTGCGGGCCTGGGTGCCGCCCCCGGAAGGACGGAAGCCCCGAGTGACCTCATCCGCATGGCCGCCGGGAGCTGCTGGCAGGAAGAGGAAAAGTGTGGCACTGAAGGATCACTTCCGCTTCCGCTGGCGCAAGCGCTTTCATTTCTTCTGCTGCCGTGACTAAGATGGAAGCGGTTTGGGAGTCGCGGGCCGGACTTTGGGCTGGGGGTCCGGCCCCCGGGCAGTTTTATCACATCCCGCCAACTCCCGGCTCCTTGGTGGACCCGGCGTCCGCGCTCCACGGGGGTCCGATCACGCGCACCCAGTAAGCTCGGGGCGCCCCAGCTTGCGCAGGGGTGGGTGTGGGCCTGTGGGCCGAGGGTTCCGAGGGAGCAGGGGAAGGCGAGGGGCAGCGAGGGGCACGGAGTCTTGGGGAATGAATGGGGCTCTGGGAAGTCGAAGGGGAACCCACCGCGCAGGGAGAAGACTCGGGTGCTCCCCCCGCGCCGCCCTGCAGACCCCACCCCCTCTGTCCCCAGGAGCCCCATGGTGACCGGGACCTCGGTCCTGGGCGTGAAATTTGACGGCGGAGTGGTGATTGCCGCAGACATGCTGGGTTCCTACGGCTCCTTGGCCCGTTTCCGCAATATCTCTCGCATTATGCGAGTCAATGACAGCACCATGCTGGGTGCTTCCGGAGACTACGCTGATTTCCAATATGTGAAGCAGGTCCTCGGCCAGATGGTGTAAGTCATCTAGAGAACAGGGCGTAGTTCCCACGTGGGCAGGGGGGTCGCTGGTGTGTGTGTGTTTTATCTCCTTAAGAAGTTCTAAGGTGGAGGCACTCGAGGCAGAGGACGGGGAGAATTGTAGGGGGTGGAAGATGGGGGGTGGAGATCCCGACTTTAATATTCTCACGCCCATTTCTTTTTTTAAGGATTGATGAGGAGTTGCTGGGAGACGGGCACAGCTATAGTCCTAGAGCTATTCATTCGTGGCTGACCAGGGCCATGTACAGCCGCCGCTCCAAGATGAACCCCCTGTGGAACACCATGGTCATTGGAGGCTATTCGGATGGAGAGAGGTTAATTTGAGTACAAATAACATTTGCTTGGCAACCTAACCTGCAGTGCCTGTGTTTATCTTTACCCCGAGTAACTCTTAGTTCTTATACCCCATGGTCCCATACTTCAGCGAGGATGCAGAAACTTAAGATGAAATTAGTTCTTTGACCGATTGTGTCCTTTTAGCTTCCTTGGTTACGTGGACATGCTTGGCGTAGCCTATGAAGCCCCTTCACTGGCCACTGGTTATGGTGCATACTTGGCTCAGGTAAGTAGTGAGTGGAGAGGTGGGGGCAGAGGGGAAGAGAGCAGGCCATGGGGGTTAGTGGTTGTGTGCTTGCTTTTACCTTATAATTCTGACATCAGGAACAGGCTAGGATCCCTATGGCTGGGCAGATGGTTCTCTTTGTAGTCCAGAGGCTGTAAGTGTGGCATTTGCATTCCACTAACAAGGCATGGTCAGGAGTCAGTAGACATGTGCAAAGAGAGGAACTCTAGAACTTCCCCTTCAGGTGGGTCTTAGCACAAGTAAAGAGTATTCTGGTGAGGCACTAGGTGGAATGTTACTTTTTCACTCATTTGTGCATATTACACCATGGATTTGAGACGAATAGCCAGGTGGTCAGCCCCTGATATCTCCCATGTTTTTCCCTAATCTCCTTAGCCTCTGCTCCGAGAAGTTCTGGAGAAGCAGCCAGTGCTGAGCCAGACTGAGGCCCGAGACCTAGTGGAACGCTGCATGCGAGTGCTGTACTACCGGGATGCCCGTTCTTACAACCGGGTGAGGAGGGGAGTGAATAATGAAAGTGAAGGGGATCTCATTGGCAGGTTCTCCATACTTGCAAATGCCAAGGGTTTCTGTGCTTTGAAGGGCAGTCCCATTTCTCTGTCTCCTATTTTCTTATTTGGGAAAGACTCTCTACCTGACCTCTGACCAGCCCCAGAGACTTCTTTCATGTGGGGGTGGGCATTTTCATTGAGAGCTCTGCTTTCTTTCAGTTTCAAATTGCCACGGTAACCGAAAAAGGTGTTGAAATAGAAGGACCACTTTCGGCAGAAACCAACTGGGATATTGCCCACATGATCAGGTGATTGAAACTAAAATTATAATGGAAAAAATAGGTGGTAGAAGAGTTGGGAGGCCCCGTGGCTTGCACTAAGCTGTGTTGTTGGGTTTTTTTTGAAGTCTTAACCCCAAATTCTCTGGGCGGCATGCATTTTGGTTCAATAGATCTGCTTTTAGGAATTGATTCCTTTCCCTATCACTTCACAAATTTATTAATGCTCTCTTCCTTTTTAGTGGCTTTGAGTGAAATACAGACGTATTATCTAGAGCTGAAGTTGTATTCTCCTTCCAACTTTGAACTTGGCTGGTTCAGAGGTAGACTTTTCTTTTGTAAAATAAATCTTTTGAAACATTTGCTGAGTAGTTGTATTTTGTCTGACTACGTCACACCAAGAATGGGCCATTTCCTCCCTGATCTGAGAACCTTCTGGCTATTGGTTCTTCTAGCACAGCGATTCTCAACCTGTGGGCCGACCCCTTTGGGGGTCGAACGACCCTTTCACAGGGGTCGCCTAAGACCACCGGAAAACACATAATTACATATTGTTTTTGTGATTAATCACTATGCTTTAATTATGTTCAATTTGTAACAATGAAATTGGGGGTCACCACAACATGAGGAACTGTATTAAAGGGTCTCGGCATTAGGAAGGTTGAGAACCACTGTTCTAGCAGATAGAGTTCTCTGCATGACAATACAGAAGACCCACTGCTGTCTTCATTTGTGAAGGCAGCTTTGTGTAGAAACCAGGCTTAATCCCTGTGGGATACCCTAATTGGCTTTTGTGTTTAATTTTTTTCTTCGACATTTCCACCCATGCACTAGATTCTAAAATACAGTTTCTGGTTAATGTTGGCTGCAAATGTAGTTTTAGTGAAAACACCATTTAAAAGATAAAATGGAGCATCTAGCGGAGCTGTTCTGTATAAGGCTACCCCTGAGCTGGAACTGACAGCCTCAATCCTCCCATTCAACTTCCATTTAGGAAATACTAAGTAATTTCAACACTGAACCTAAATGTCTATTGTTCAAACCTACTAATTTCTAGCATCGCCTTAAAACTTACAAGTTTTGTGTGTTTATTAAAAGGTCCTAAGTGTAGCTGTGAGTCAGATCAGTTGGGGTAGCAACCAAATTCCATCCCCGGAATGGTGTTAAACTCTATTTAAAAATGAACACCTCCCAAATAAAGAAAAAAACAAAAAATATAAAAATGAACACCCGAGGTAATTCTGAGGCATATCCTCTCTAAACCTCTTTTTGAGAAACTAGTACAGACCGCAAACCCAAAAACGTACACAAATTCAGTGAGGTGAGAAAGGAGGGAGAAATCAAAACACCTCTCTGTCGTGTCATCCATGATTACAACAAACCAGTACATTAAAGCAAAAGAAAACCATGAGCTTTCAATTTGAATATTCTATAGTCTCAACACAGAAAGTAGGCAATAAATATTTTATTGATTAAACTGAATTATAAAAAAACCCCAATCTTCTACTACACTAAGCCATGCGGGCAGAATCCACAAAAACTTCCTGGCCAAAACTCAGCTGACCACTGTTGGTAATACGGTCTTAAAAAAATTGCCCCTCAAGTCATTCAGTGTGCAGAGACCAGGAGCCCAGCTCCACTAAGTTTGGGCTGCTGTGGAGACTACCAAAAAGGATTAGGTCGTTGTAGATCGAGTTGACCATAGTTCTTGATCTTTCTGAAAGGCAAAGGATTGACTCGAAAATCCATAACTCTGTCAAAATGGTATCAGGCAAAAAGCTGGGGAAGAGAAGCCCAGATGGATCCTCAGTTCAGTTCTTAGATGCTGGCCACGCTGTTTACGGGAGGGATCCCTCCAGATCACTATATTATAGCCTTCTGGGGGTTAAAAAACAAAAAGTGGGGGTGAGGACAAACAGGGGTAACAAATGTCACACCTGTACCATCAGGCCCATCACACCTTGAGCATCTGCCAGTCTGTGAAACCTATTAGAATAGGGCAGGGGTGGGCAAACTTTTTGACTCGAGGGCCACAATGGGTTCTTAAACTGGACCGGAGGGCCGGAACAAAAGCATGGATGGAGTGTTTGTGTGAACTAATATAAATTCAACGTAAACATCATTACATAAAAGGGTACGGTCTTTTTTTTTATTTTTTTTTTTAGTTTTATTCATTTCAAACGGGCCAGATCTGGCCCGCGGGCCGTAGTTTGCCCACGGCTGGAATAGGGGCACCTAGGAAAAAAAACATTGTTTTATAAACTCATTTCCCTTCATTTTATTGTTCCACTTACGTACATTTTAAAGATGAACCATTTACAAGCCTGTGCAGGCTGCTGTCTTGGCTTTAGGAAGGAAACGTTGCTGACTCGGGGTGGACAGAATGGTGTAGCTGTGGGAAAGGTGGACCTGGATTTTTGCTCCTTTTCTGTTACAGTACATTTCAGTTTATAACCATGAGTACATACAACTTAAAAAAAAATCCCTCATGCAAATCGTAGAAAAATTTTTTCTTTCCTTGATGCTGGCAGTGAAAAATAAAGATTCAAGTCTTTTTCTCTGTGCACACCCCCATGTATTTCTTCTTCAGGTCAGATTCTTCACTAAGCATTAAGAGAAATAGGAGAAAGCAGGATTTCAGCAAGTGGTCTGTCTTTTCTTTTTAAAGTTCAACACTTAATTTCTTGCACAATTAGCTCCTGGCTGTAGGAATGTGGTCACTTGATCAGTCACTGTCCACTTAAGATGAAGTTCAACAAAGCAGGGACTGCCCCCAGAGGGCCTGCAGGATGAAGACCCCACACTGGGAATGGCTTCCACCCTAACTCTGTGATCACCTCAGTACCTCTTGCTGGCTAATGACATGTATGATCCTTTGTCCAGAGTGATGGTGTGAGAATGGGAAAAGGGGCCAAGGATCGCAAGTGCAAAGGATATTGGTTTTGTCATATTTTTGTTGGGAGGGTGGTGAGGAAAAAGATCTATTCATCATTCTGGATGATTAAAGGTGGTTTCATGCATTTTTAAAGCCACAATTTTATATCGAGTTGCTGTAGAAACCAACTTCTCTGGAGAGGGAAGGTAAGAAAGGAGAAGGAAGAGAGAGTTCAGTGGGATTTTTTTTCCATTTTCATTTTTATATAAAAGTGTTAAGACCACAATGAAAAAAGTTTATCCATATATATAATAAACCAGTTTGTGAGCTACAATTTTTCTTTCCCATCTTCAGAAATGTTCTCACATTGACAATGGTTGGATAGCATCATGCCCAGACATTGGCCACACAGTAAAACAAACCAGATGTACTATAATACAATTGAGGTAAAAGGGGAAACAAAAAAAATTAACATTCGTCCACAAAGGATTTTTTTTTCTTTTCTTGTTTTGTCAGAAAAATACCAAACACAGTGATTTAAATTTTTTCAAAAATTCACAAAAACCTGTTATCATCATAAATGAATGACCAATGGGCCAGCTCTTCGGCTCAGATGTGATTACTATTGGTTTTCCTAATAATCCACAAATCCACAGGGAAGTATAAGTCAACATCAGGGGGCAGTGGTGGCATAAAATTAAAAAATATAAACCAAATACCCCACCTGGTATACCCCCTTTCCCCTAAGCCCCTCTACCCTCCCTCACACTTTCCCACCCCCACTTCATACGCCCTCAAGACCCCAACACTCAAATCTCCATCAGATCTAGGTCAGCTTCTTCAAAGCCATAGAAGGACTCGGTCTCGCTTTCACCCTCAAAGAGCTGGTGAAGGCTTTCAGGCTCAGCTGTCTCTTCGGGAGATGACCTGGGTCGGGGGGTGGAAGCCGAGTGCTCCTCAGACTGCTCCCCGCTCAGCTTCAGTTGCTCCTCTAGGGAGGCAATTAGCTCCTCCTGCATGTCAGCATTTCTTGTAGGTGAGTTAATGTTGCCGTCAGGGCCAGGCAGAACACTAGCCACAAGGAAGGATCGCTGAACCAGCTCTGGACAGTCCCCAATGACAGCCAGTACCTCGGCCAGCCAGACCACCACCAGTTGCAGCAGGACATCAGAATCACACGCAGTATCTGCCATTTCCCGAGCCTGCTCCTTCCACTTTTTGTGCAGGAAGTTCTTGACTGTTCGTTTGATGCATACGTCTAATGGCTGGATTTTGGAGCTACAGCCTGCCGGGACCACTGCAGGCAAAGTGCTAGAGGCACTGAGCATGGCCAGCACCTCCTCGGACAGGTGAGTGCGATGACAGTCCATCACGAGCATGCCTTTGCTGCGCTGGCAAGCGGTGTGCTTCTGCCACACTCGGGTTGACCACAGCTCCATGATCTCATCATCACTGTAGCCACTTTCCTTTGCCTCTAGCAATATAGAGTCTGGCACATTAGCGGGCCGGTCCATTTGTCCTCGGTAGAAAACCAGGGTGGGGAGGACAGTGCCATCGGCCAGAATGGCCAGCACCACATCACACCAAGGTTCCCCTGTGCCCACTGTCTGCAGGGCGTTCTCCTTTCGGTCATCACTGCTCAATACCTCTGTATCCAGAAACAAGGAGATCTCATCAATGGCCACAATCATAGACAAGGGTAAGTCCTGGTTGTGAATTTGCCGTTGTACAAATTCAATGAAGAGTCCTGCATTCTCTGCTACTTCCTTAGGCAGGGTGTGGGCCACGGCACGCCGGGCATGGGGAGTCAAGTGGTGCCGTAGCATGAAACGCACAGCCCACTCGTAAGAGATCTTAAACCCCCCCTCCAAAGAACGCCCTATTTTGGTGGCCTTCTGGAACAAGGTCTCCTCATTGACCGGAAGCTGTTGCTCTCGCTGGGTCAGCACCCACTCAGCCAGTTTCTCTTCTGCCTCAAAGCTCAGATATTTGCCTTCCAGATTCTCCCACTGGGATGCCTGGAAGCGCCGAAGCCAACGGCGGATGCGTCGCTGCGGGTTCCGGAAGTGTTCGGCTGCCTGTTCAGTATTACAGCATAGGGCAAACAGTACTACTCGAAGCTTCTTCACAGACAGCTGTTCCTTCTTGCCAATCCCACTGCTACTCCCACCCCCTGAGGCTGGCTCAGGTTCCTGGGTGACTGGGCTCCCTTCATCCTGGTCATCAACATTCAGACATTCAGCCTCCTCTGTAGCCAAGGGTGGGAGGGCTAATGGCTGGGGGTGTGTGGGGGTTGGTGGTGGGGTTGCAGTTGAAGCTGGTGATGGGAGTGCCTGGGCCATGGGTGTTGATAGCTCTTCAGGCTCAGCTGGGGTGGGCTCGGCAGATTTCACAGTGGAAGCTTTATTAGAGGGTAAGGAAGGAGGAGGGTACATATTCTTCACGTTCCGGTCATTCACCCGGTCACGAGTCTGGCTGTGCCTAAAGAGTTCGAAAAGAGAGTAAGAAAAACCTCAGTAAAACCAGGAATACAAAATAACAGTAGTAACAATAATAAAAACCAAACACACTGAAAAACAGAAATTGAACCATGAAGTGAGTTTCCTTTACCTTGAGTGAGACATCCAAGAGAGTGCTATGGGAAAGGAGACAATTAAAAAAAGTTAACTCAGTGAAGAAAAAAGCCTTCTAAGACAGTGTCTTGGGATTTCAATCAAAAAGGCAAATCGACTGCCTACTCAAGTCTTATATAAACTTCCGGTTAGGATGCTTCCAATTTGTGGAGTAGGCCAAAACAGTGAATGGGGTAGGGATGCTCCTGATTCATGTAACATCACCTGTATCACTATCTTTTTTTTTTTGTCCTGCTAACCCCATCTCTCCTACTTACCTCGTGGCAGAATGCTGCTGGATCTGTGAGAGGGATTGAATACCAAATGCTTGGCCATGGCATCTCCCACAAAGGTAACAAAGGTACAAGAAGTGCAGTACAGCCTGATTCCGCTGAGAAAGAGCCAAGAGTACAGAAGTCAAATACAGCAGTGAACTACAGAGTTAGGCCTCGAGGCTTAATAAAGGAGTGTCCTTTCTTCTCTCTCTCAAATTAATTCACATACCCACCCATCCCAAAACAGCTAAGAGGATCTAATGTACCGGTAAAAACGTCAAAATTCAGACACCATCAGTAAGTTTTTCCTTACCTCACAGAATTTTTAAATAAAGCCAAATACTTGGAGCTCTTCCGTGGAACATGATTGCTGAGAAAGACAAAAAGTGGTATGAGTTACAGGGTTCTGCTGGTTAAACAGAGATCACCAGCCACTGACAATGACCCAACAAAAGAGATGCCTCTTGCCCTGGCCAGGTCACTCAGTCAACTGGAGCATCATCCCGGTAGGGGTGCAACTGATATTTCTCTCACATCGATGTTTCTCCCTTTTTAAAACAAACAAACAAAAAAAAACAACCAAAAAAACCCTCCAACCATTCTAACCTCAAATAGTGCCAGTTTTCCTATGGGGAAGAGGGGATTAGGATTAGGGTCTATGAAAATGCACATAGTGATCGAGAGGGCCTGGGGCTGGACCCAGAGCTGCAATTCTAACAAGCTTCCATGTGGTGCTGCTGGTCCGTGAACCACAATTTGAGTAGAAGGTTCCACAAAATCAGAGCACAGCCCATTAAAGTCAAATGAATATGGGCTGGCCTCTCACTCTGCTCTGAGAGATAGACAAACAGCTCTAAGAACTGAAGGAAAAAACATACTATCAACAGGGGAGGGAATAAGAGTTCTGTGAATCTGAACTCCCAGACAGAAACAGTGGTTTAATCGTGACTTACTTGATCATGTGATTGGCATAAGCTCGAGAACAGCAGGTGCTATAGCGACACAGAGAGCAGTGAACATATGTAGGAAAATGGTTTGGGAAATCTGGGATCTCAAAGCTGCACTCCAGACATGTCTGCCGGCCCATGACACTCCTGTCAAGAAACAAGGAAGATGAGCATTAACTGCCCCTGGGCACCCACATTGTAAGGACTGTAGACAACAGACCCTACTAAAGGCTACCAGGTCACACTGGGTGAGGAATAGCCGTGCCCCCCGCCCGGGCCTCTAGAGGGAGGCACTGACATTTTCCTAACAGCTCTCTTCTGGATGTTGCGCTGGACGGGGGGATAAAGGAAGACTGGCAGAGGGTCCGTGGATGAGGTCAGTGGTCCTGCCTCCTGCAAGGTGCTGGGAGGTGCGTCACTGGAGACAGGAAGAGTTCGTGGCTGCCCTCGGGAAGCCCGGATTGTCACCTGTGGGTCAAGGGGAGGAACAATTAGACATCAGATACTGAAACTCCCTATTCCTCTCCTGAATCTGCAAAGGAAATGTTGACAGTCCCTTTACCTTGGTGCCTGGTTTCAAACCTTCCAGCTGCTTGGGTTTACGGAAGGTTTTATGGTGCTGAAGCTTGTGTTCAATTTTGTCCTTGGCAAAGAGAAACTGCAGCCGGCATTTGTTGCAGTGATAAACGTTCCTCTTCTGAAGGGAAAAAAAAGGAAACTCTTTGAACACTTCCCAGTGAATTTTCTTCCCTGAGAAGGTAGATCAGTGCCAACCATACCATTCTTCACATCTTTCTGCTGATGCACAACAGGCACAGCCTGCCACTGAGAATCATCACCGCCTATTCTCCCAAAGAAAGGTGGACTCAAAGCAGGACGACTAGGTCCTCAAACCATCTCTTCCTGACTTGCTTTAATAATCTGGGTGAGTGGCTCAAGCTTGACTTGTCCCTACTTTATATTTGCAATGTGGACAGTGCTACCTACTTCTGGACATTGTCATTTCTTTCTTTATTATTTATTTCAGAGAGGAAGGAAGAAGGAGAGAGAAACATCAATGGTGAGAGAGAATCATCAATCAGCTGCCTCCCGCACACCCCCTACTGGGGCTCGAGCCCGCAACCCAGGCATGTGCCCTGGCCGGGAATCCAACCGGGGACCTATTGGGGTTCATGGGTAAATGCTCAACCACTGAACCACACTGGCTGAGCTCTTTAAAAAAGAAAAGAAAATGTACATGTTAAAAAAAAAATCATACTTTTTATTCTATAAGATTGTTTTCAACTCTGATCCTTAGTCCCTGTCCACAAAAACTTACCAGCTTCTTGGGTTTCTTTCATGGACAACCATGTTACACACACATACCTCTCCATCACCACCTCCCCGTTTTTCCTTTCTTTGACAACAATGATAGTACTTTTCCACACCTTGCTCTTTTTCCTCTTAACACATCAAACTGTACAGATATGCCTCCCTGTGAGACAGACCAGTGTGAGGATTCGACTGCTGTGTAGGGAAGTCCTTTGGCGACATGATCCAAGTCTATGATTTTCTTCCCTAGGATAGGAGGCTGTGTGACGTCAGCTGAGTTACCAGTGATAATCTCCATGCTGCCGCTTGAAAATACACTTGTGGTGGATTGTCAGCAGTCACTGCTGTGCAAATGAATGTATGGGTCTAACAAGGTATTTACAAGTGAGAGTGTTGGCATGTTTGTACACACGTGTGAACATTAAGCACAGCAGTCCAGGACCTAAAACCTCTTTGATAGCTTCTCAATGACTTATTTTCATGTTGAAATTCCTTTTCATGGCTTACCAGATTCTCTATAACCTATCTGTTCCCTACTGCCAACCTCTGTCCCTACACTTCACACTGAACTTCTTTCAGTTCCCTGAACCTCCACACTTTGGCTCTGTGCCTCTGAGCCCACTGTTCAATTCCACTTCCCCTGCTCATTCTTCCTCAGCCTTCAGGTCGTGCACACCCTTCTCCTAGAAGCTTACTAGACTTTCAGAATAGGTACATGCTTTTCTGTGTTCTGTATCTCCTCTAACACGACATTTTTCATGCTTTATTGTACTGTTTAGTTATCTTGTTTGCCAGTAAACTGCTTAACACCTAAGCCCGGTGCAATGTAGACAAATGAAATTCAAAAAACTTACAAACACATATACATTCTTTTCTATCAAAATATTTGTCTAGCTCAGCTCGGGCCCTAGCATCCATACATTTTAAAAATAAGAATTTGGCAAGTGCTTGGTGCCAGGTACCTGGTGCCTCATGTAATGCTGTTGGAATGCGTTGCCGTTTTTGAAGACCTTCAGGCAGTACGGGCACAGCAGATGCCGAGTATCCTCATGAATCATCCGAAAATGGACATCTACCTCAGAGTAGAGTGAGGAGCGATACTGACACACCTGCGTCACACAAGAGGGAAAGTAAGCTAAGAATGAAGCAAACGGCTGGGGCCTCAAAAAAGAGGTAGCAACAAAAACGTTAAAATATGAAAATAAAATTCCTTAAATGTATAGATCAAATCATATTTCCGACTTTGTGATAAATTCAGCGGTGAATTAAGATAAAAATGAGGAAGGCCAGGAAAGTCTGAGAACAATTCGTGTTCTTTGACTAAGAGGAGCAAAGTTTTCTCTGATAGTCTCCAAAGGGCAGTACCAGACACTCACTTAGTACATGTGTATGTTCCTTTTATGTTTTTCTCCTGCATGAAGAATCCTGAAAACAGAACCTGTGTTTACTATTTCTTCTGCATCTCGCAATGTTCCTAAAACTGTGTGTGTGTGGTGGGTAGTCAGCACTGGTCATGAGTGGATTCTTTATATTTAGCCTGAGAGCAAAATGGCTAAAACTCTGTAGGGAGAAAGATAATACCTGGCAAACATAAGGCATCTCTCCAGGCTTATGCGTATCCTTCATATGCTGCAGAAATAGTGGCTCACTCTCAAATGCCCACTCACAGATCTTGCACTTGGCTGTAAGAAGAAAAATAATCAATAAATTCACCTGAAAATAAGACCAAGGTCCTCCTGACTTATTCTATTTTCTGAGTTCTGCATCTTCCTTTTTCCATAGTTAGAAAATCATTGTCTCTTTCTTTAAAATGGTTCCATCTTAATATATGTGTTGCTGATAAAACTAACCATATCTCTAGCTCAGACTTCTTACCAAAGCTCCATTCTAGATTTTGAATTATCTGCAAGACCTTTTTAATTGGACATTCTACCATCAACTCTAACTTAGAGCAGCATTCTGCTGCTTCCCTCTGTTGCCCTTCTCACTACCCACCTCTTCCTCAGCTCAAAATTTAGGCCCTGGCTGGTTTGGCTCAGAGGACAGCGCATCGGCCTGTGGACTGAGAATCCCAGGTTTGATTCTAGTCAGGGGCACATGCCTAGGTTGCAGGCTCGATTCCAAGTAGGAGGTGAGCAGGAGGCAGCTGATCAATGATTCTCTCTCATCATTGATGTTTCTGTCTTTCTCCTTCTCCCTTCCTCTCGGAAATCAATAAAAATATATTTTAAAAAAATTTAGGCACCATCTCTAACTCTATACTTGTGTTTTCATCATTATTTCAGAATGCATCTAGGGATTGTCACGTCTCCAATCTCACAGGCAAAAACTTGGTAGAAGCCCAATGATTTCCTACGCTGATCAGCTAAATTCTAGTTCCTTCTATTTCACCAACAAATACAAGATCTATTTCTGCATATCATTACCAAATCAGTTCTTTCAGAATACTACATTACTTAATTATTTTGCTCAAGGTTAGACAATGATTATCTCCTATGAATAATTCAACAAATATTTATTAAACATCTTATATCAGTACAAATAAGAATTTGTCCTAAAAAAACCAAGACTCATGAACAGAAGTTCTTGCCTTGTTATGAGTTATTATAGTAATAACAAATTTAAGATAACTTTGAAATTGCCCATTTTGTCAAGCTTATAAGGCTGAAAGTCCATACCAGCCAGGGCTATTTTTCTTTTCTTTCTTTCTTTTTTTTTTTTTAACTTTAAGTATACTAGGTATACAATATTAGTTTCAGGTGTATCATATAGTGATTCAACATTTATATACCTTACAATAAGTCTAGCAATCATCACACTAAGTCTAGCAATCATCTGTCATCATGCAAACTTATCAAAATATTAAAAATATTAAAAATCTGTTCTTTAATGGGAAAAAGTTAAATATCTCATTAATTTTAAAATTGTGATTACATGCTAAAATAACTATTTTGGATATGAGTTAAATAAAATACACTATTAAAATTAATTTTAGGTTTTTAAAACTATTTAACACAGCTATTTAAAAAATTAAATTATATGTGTTGCTCACATTATATTTCTTTGACCAGTACTAGTCTAAGCCACTCATGGCAATCCCATCCCCCTTACAAATATGACCAAGGACAAGGAGATATAAGGGAAAGCAATTCTGCCTTGTAAGACATAGATTCAGGGAAGACACAGGAAGATATGGTTTCTTCTTCATCTGCACAATTTTGTGTCTGAATGAAACACCTGAGACTAACACAGCCAGAGACAAGAGAAATGTTAAGAAGCAGAACACTGAAGTTCTGGGCTTGAAGTTCTCTCAGTTAAAATGATAGAAAGGATGTCCTATTGTTCAATTATTTAAGTCAAGGTTTTTAATTTGTAGCAAAAGCATCCAGATCTTATGCATATTTCTGGTCTTTATGCCTTTGCTCGCTTTTCCCATCACGTAAAAGCTTTCCTTACTAATTACCATCAATTTAAATCCTTCTTGTATTTAAAGGCCCCAAAAACTTAAGCATGACTTTCTGTGATCTGACCATAAGGATCTATCTGTTCCCTTCTCTGATCTATTTCACTTACTTTTGGTGAAACATATAACACATATTTATAATAAACATACTATGTTGTTCTCACATTTCCCTATATTTACATAATTTTTATATCTTCAACAAAACTAGAAATCCCTTAAAGGACACAAGAAATATTCTAGAAGACTGGGATCAAATTCTCACAATGGCACCTTACTGAGGTGTACGGTGTTCAGTAAATAACTAAATTTTTTTAAAGTACTGTCTCAATTGTAAAGTGCTTTATAATAAAAATTATCTTTTATCCTCCTTAAAATCTACCAGGGGACAAACTAAAACGAAGGTTCAAATATAGATGCTCCTTCTATAAAATAAACCCACTACATTATGTCTCTCCAGTGGTCCTAAGCCAAAGCCCCTAATTCATGATCTAGCACTGAACTCAATTCATGCTGAAAAGAACCTAACTCAGGCTTGAAAGAAAACAGAGCAAGTGAAGTAAGGAAATGACTACAAATATGCAAAGAACTTCTTCTACACTGTCACCCACATATAAATAAATATAACCAGCTCCCCCTAGTGCCATCTATAATACTAAAAGCATAATATGCTAATTAGACCAGACGGCCGAACAGGAGAACATCTGGACAACCTTCTGAATCAGTGGTTCTCAACATTCTGGCCCTTTAAATACAGTTCCTCATGTTGTGACCCAACAATAAAATTATTTTCGTTGCTACTTCATAACTGTAATTTTGCTACTGTTATGAATCGTAATGTAAATATCTGATATGCAGGATGGTCTTAGGCGACCCCTGTGAAAGGGTCGTTCGACTGTCAAAGGGGTCGCGACCCACAGGTTGAGAACCGCTGTTCTGGATGAAGCTGGGGCAGCGAGGGCAGAGTCCCTTGAACGAATTTCGTGCATCAGGCCTCTAGTTCAATGATAAAGAGCTAAGTATATCCTTAGGATTTAAGAGTTTCCAAACTTACTAGTTGATTCATAAGGACTATGAACATTTTCCAAGTGGCACTGGAGCTGGAAGGGAGTGGAAAACTGGCGATAACAGTGTTGGCAGATAGTATGACCATCCACTTCACCATTCTGCTGATCAAGTTCTACATGGTGTTTCATATGGTTCATGAATCTGTAGTACAGCGCAAAGGGAAAGTACAGAAAACATTTAAAACCAGTAACCCTGGAGACATGTAACAGCAGAATCACAGAACAGATATTACCTGCTCCTCCTCCTTCCACTTCCTCTGTTAACCCAGAAAAGGGTTCTTGAAATTAAGACTTCTGTGGAAGGAGACACACTTGTCTCCCTTATCTTTTAATTGGTCTCCCAGTTATCTTTTATTTATTACCACAATATGTCCTTCTATAGCAGTGGTTCTCAACCTTCTTAATGCCGCGACCCTTTAATACAGTTCCTCATGTTGTGGTGACCCCCAACCATAAAATTATTTTTGCTGCTACTTCATAACTGTAATTTTGCTACTGTTATGAATCGTCATGTAAATATCTGATATGCAGGATGTATTTTCATTGTTACAAACTGAACATAATTAAAGCAGTGATTAATCACAAAAATAATATGTAATTATATATGTGTTTTCCGATGGTCTTAGGCGACCCCTGTGAAAGGGTCGTTCGACCCCCAAAGGGGTCGCGACCCACAGATTGAGAACCGCTGTTCTAATGGATTAGCTCTTGATTAATGCTAATCCTTAGCCAAGACTGGATAATAGGACAATTCTCCAAAGAGAAAGACTTAAACATATAAGAAAATTTCAGTCTTGTCTTGTCCAAGGTAACATCCAATGCTCTGTAACACTTACCGAATGTTGTTTTTTAGCCTTTTGGTACAATGTGGACATCGGAAGGATGTAGCGACCTTAGGGAAGTTTGTGAGTTGGGCTACTTTGCCACCGTCCCGTCCATAGTAGAAGTCATCCACTAGCATAATGAGCTTGGTCTGGACAGCATCACCCACGTTCTCATTTGGCTCTGGTACTTTGGTAGGCGGTGACAGAGCAGGAATTGGTGTTGAAGAGGGTGTGGAAGCAACAGGAACTGTTTTCTCAGGGGATGAGGGCTTTGCTGCTGATGGGACATTGGGTTCTGAATCCGGAGACTTCCCTTTCTTCTGGAAGTCAACCATTTCTGGGCAGCAGTACTATAAAGAAAGAAGACATCTGATCATTCTGGTTATCCTGGGGATAGGGTGTGATAACTCCCCAACTTCACTAACAGTCATTGGTAAGCTTGGTTCTAGGTGGTCTCAATCAGCTTTCACCCTCAAGATTTCTATAGCATTTCCAAGTGTCACTCTTTTTCTAGTGTACTCGAGTCCTGGTGCACGGATTTGTACACTGGTGGGGTCCTTCGGCCTGGCCTGCGGGGGTTGGGCCGAAACCGGCAGTCCAACACTGCCTGCTGCTCCCGCTCATCTCGGCCCTGCTGTGCCTGCCGCGGGCTCGTGCCCAATCAGTCCCGATTGAGAGAGGCTTGCGCTGCCATAGTGGCGCTCGCCAGCTGTGAGCCCTGCCTCTGGCACCTGTCGGTCAGCTGAGCGGTGCTCCCTCTGTGGGAGTGCACTGACCACCAGGGGGTAGCTCCTGCGTTGAGAGTCTGCTCCCTGGTGGTCAGTGCACGTCATAGTGACCAGTCGACCAGTCGTTCAGTCACTTAGGCTTTTATATATAGAGATATGTATTTACAGCCACATGCCACTCCAAACACCTTATCTTGTACTTCTTCCTGCTTTAGCTCCTTTAACCACTCACTAACATAACTTGGTCCTGAGCTCTCTGGGAGCAAGACGTTCCGACCTTTCCATCAGGACTAATACAAAAAAACCAAAAAGGTTAGAAATGGGAACTGGTTTAACAGCTCCTGATTCATCAATGAGACATAAGCAGAAAATGAACTGAGGCCAAGTTGGTTTGAGTTCTGGTTATCTAACAAACCGGACCTGTGCAATTTCAAAATCTAGCACAACTAAGGAATGAAGGTTGCATATGTTCTGATTCATTTGAGGGACATTAAATGTATCCTATGACATCCCACAGTATATAACTCTTCTAAACAGTCCAAAAGACAAAGCAGCACTTTAAAAAGCTTCCAAGTGATTTTAAAATCCCAACTTCACAAGCTCCCATTACGACAGGCAGCATACAGTGGTAGCTCTTTAAATCGAATCCCATCACAAGTGAATCACTTACACACATGTGACCTCTCAAAGCTTCAGTCACACGGAATTGAGCGTTACACCGTGGACACATTTTCCGGCCACCATCTTGGAGATCAAACGCGGGGATGGAAGAGGTCACTGGAAGAAGAGAGAAGCATTGAAAAACTTAATGATACTGGAAAATATTACTGGCCTTTTGGGAAAAGGTTACACTCCCCGAGACGCATATCAAGGTTGGTAGGCAAGCATGAGAGATCACCATGAGTGTCATTCCTTTTACTATTCTTCTGACTCTAGGCCATAGGTCAGCAAATTACACCTGGGCTCGTAGACCAAATCCAGCCAGCTGTCAGTTTCTATTTGGTCCATGAGCTAAGAATGACTTACATTTTTCCCCCTTGATTATGGTAAAAGAAACATAACATACAATTTATTTCTTAAGCAATCTTAAGTGTACAGTTGTGTTAAGTACATTCCCAATGTTGTGCAAGCAGTCTCCAGAAGTCTTTTCATCTTGCAAAAATAAATCTGTATACCCATTAACTGCCCATCCCCCACTCTGTCTAGTCCCTGGCAACCACCATGAATCTGACTACTCCAGGTATGCCACATAAGTGGAATCATACAGTACTTGTCCTTTTGTGACTGGCTCATTTAACATCATGTTCTCAAGATTCATGAATGTTGTAGCATGTGTCAGAATTTCTTCCTTTTTAAGGCTGAACAATATACCATTTTACATATATACCACATTTTGTTTATTCATTCATAGGTTGAAGGACATCTGAGATGTTCCTACCTCTTGGCTATTATGAATAATCTATCTATATAAAAGGCTAAGTGACCGACTGTCCGTCTGGAACACAGGATGCGCACTGGCATTGACTTGCGCATGTGCGATACATATAATGCTCACGCTGGCGCCAATCGCACACGCATTTCAATATGTCATTGTCAATCGTGGATTTGGTTGTTTTTGTTGATATTCAACGTGATCCACATCGCAATTTATTCATCAACCGTCAGACCAACTGGCTGGTACATATGACGCGCACTGGCAATTTAAAAATAAACATTGACTCACACATATGTGATACATATAAAGCTCTTGCGGGTGCCAATCGCACGTGTTTTAATTTTATACTATTACTAGAGGCCCGGTGCACGAATTCGTGCACCAGTGGGGTCCCTCGGCCTGGCCTGCGGGATCAAGGCTGAAACTGGCTCTCTGACATCCTCTGAGGGTTCCCAGATTACAAGAGGGTGCAGGCCAGGCCAAAGGACCCCACTGGTGCATGATTGTGTCTGGGAAGGGATGCGGGAGGTTGGCCAGCCAGGAAGGGACCACGGGAGGGCTTCAGGGCATGTCCGGCACGTCTCGCTCAGTCCCGATCAGCCGGACCCCAGCAGCAAGCTAACCTACCGGTTGGAGCATCTGCCCCCTGGTGGTCAGTGCACGTCATAGCGAGCAGTTGAGAGGCCTTAGCATATCATTAGCTTATTACGCTTCGATTGGTTGAATGGACTACCGGACACTTAGCATATTAGGCTTTTATTATACAGGATACTATTTTTACATGTAATTTTTTGCAGTAACATCATTACTGCACGAATCTTTCTTCTAATTTCCTTTCAATGTGCACAAATCCATGCTCCAGGTCACTAGTGCTGCTATAAAGATGGATGCAGAAATGTCAGTTTGGATCCATGCTTTTAAATTCTTTAGGTATATTTCCCCATAAGGTAATTTTTTAAAGTTTTATTTATTTATTTATTTAAAATATATTTTATTGATTTTTTACAGAGAAGAAGGGAGAGGGATAGAGAGTTAGAAACATCGATGAGAGAGATCGATCAGCTGCCTCCTGCACACCCCCCATTGGGGATGTGCCCGCAACCAAGGTACATGCCCTTGACTGGAATCGAACCCGGGACCCTTCAGTCCGCAGCCCGACGCTCTATCCACTGAGCCAAACCGGTTCGGCTAAAGTTTTATTTATTGATTTTAGAGGGAGAGAGGCAGGAAGAGAAAGAAACATTGATTTATTGTTCTACTTACTTATGCATTCATTGGTTGATTCTTGTATGTGCCTTGGCCAGGGATGGAACCTGAAATCTTGGCTTATCAGGATGACACTCTAACCAACTGAGCTACCTGGCCAGGGCTCATATGGTAATTTTATATTCTTTTCTTTCTTTTTTGTAACTATCAATATCAATAGTAAAAATCATGCTATTTTACATTCCCACCAGCACTGCACCATGGTTCTAATTTTTCCACATCTTCACGAGCACTTATTTTGATTTTTGGATAACAACCATCCTAATGGCTGTAAAGTATTATTTCATTGTGGTTTTGATTTATGTTTCCCTAATTATTAGTGATGTTTAGTATTGGGCTTCATGGGCTCAGTGGCCATCTGTATAGTATATCTTCTTTGGAGAAAGGTCTATTCAACACCTCTACCCATTTTTGAATTGGGCTGTTTGTTCTTTTGTGTGGAGTTGATGAAGTTCTTTATATATTCTGGATATTAATCCCTTATTTGATTGTAAATATTTTCTCCTATTAAGTGGCTTGACTTTCTGGTACTTGTAAGAGTCCTTTGTTGCCCTGAAGATTTTAGTTTTGATGTAGTTTTACTTATTTATTTTTTCTTTTGTTGCCTGTATTTTTGGTATCATATGCAAGAAATTATTGCTAAATTAAATATCATGAAGCTTTCCCCTGTTTTCTTCTAAGAGTTTTATAGTTTTAGCTCTATGTTTAGGTCTTTGATTCACTGAGTTAATTTTTATATATGATAAGGGTCCAATTTCGTTTTTTTGCATGTGGATATTCGTTTTTTTCCAACACCATTTGTTATAGGTTTTTACATTTTTAAATGGTTGAAATAAAAGCAAAAAATGAGTAAGATCGTTGGACACATGAAAATTATATGAAATTCAAAAATTCAGAGTCCATAGATAGTTTTGATTGAGCAGAGTCATGCTCACTCATTTACATTCTGTCTGTGGCTGTTTTTGCACCACAGTAGTAGAGTTGAGTAGTTGTGACATAGGCCTAACGCACAATGTCATTTACAGAAAAAGTTAATTTAGACTATTAAAAACTCTCACGCTCATATCCTGCAAACCTCTCTACCAAATCCTGACTTTAAAACCTTGTTCACAAATTCATCTCATCTAGGAAGCCATCTTTTGATTGTCCCACCCATATCTGATCAATCAATCAATCCATGTCACTAATCCACAAAGCACAATTACAGAACTGCTTGAAGCTGATTCAGGCACACTTCTCACAGTGGCTGTCCCCTTACTACGCTCAGCTTCTGTGAGAACAGACTGCAGTGACTGAATTCCATTTATTTCTCTATTTCATAGTGTAGAGTTCCGATACAGCATATCAATGTTTCTGAATAACTGGCTGCTCAGAGTCTTTCAGGTTATTGTACCTTTCATTGAAGACTCAGGTCCGCTGGTTCTCTGAGAGCCATGGGAAGAGTTGTTGTTGGACACCACCACTGGCCCGGGACTCTGGCCCAGGGAAGGGATGGTGTTAAGGGTATTCACCAGTTTGGCCACGTCATTGCTATTTTCACCTGTAACCCCAGGTCGCTTCACAGTGACAAAGCTGGTAATGCTCACTGCAGGTGGAGAGGGGAAGGAGGGAGCTATGTTGGCCAAGTGATAATCATCTGTTCTCCACCCACCACCCCGTCCCAGCTCTGCCATTTCCTCTTCCAAAACCTCACCTAGCTTGGGATTCGAGGTCTGGTTGGCTTGGCCTGGCGGCTGAACAGCTAGTTGTCCCAGTGAGGTTGGCTGTGTGGCGGTGGGAGTGGTGGAAGTGCTGGGAGTGGACTTGGTCTGCTGGGACTGGGACTGTGGGACGGTGCTTCGAATGGTGAGAGTGGCTGGGATGACGGTGGTGAAGGTGTTGGTGGTGGGCCGCACAGGCATTGTGGATCCTGGCCTCACTGGGGTCATCTGAGAGAACACTTGTGGGACTCCAACTGTCGGCTTAACAAACTGGGTACCTGGGGCTTAAAAGAGAGACAAAGAAAGTACCAAATCTTGGTCAATAAACTTACTTTTAACACATTGCTCCTATCTTTACTGGAAATACTGGAATAGAAAATGATAATTTCCCCAAACTGACTGGTGACCATCAGAGGTTACCAAGAATAGCATAGCCCTGACCGGTTTGGCTCAGTGGATGGAGCGTCGGCCTGCGGACTGGGGGGTCCCAGGTTCGATTCCGGTCAGGGGCATGTACCTTGATTGTGTGCACATCCCCAGTGGCGGGTGTGCGGGAGGGAGCTGATCGATGTTTCTCTCTCATCGATATTTCTAACTCTCTATCCCTCTCCCTTCTTCTCTATAAAAAATCAATAAAATATATATTAAAAAAAAGAAAAGAATAGCATAGATTCCAATATCTAAGAAGGTAATATGCATGTAAACTGATAAAAGAAATTAGTCTAGGTAATTAGCCCTAAAAAGATTCAACTGAAGAAAGAGGATTCCTATTAACTCCTCCCCAAACACTTTACCACTTGGCTTGGTATTGGAAGAGAAAGAATGGGTATAGAGTGAGAGGCTGAATGGGTATACATATAGGTCCCAAGGGCAGACTTGGTCCTGAAAAAAACAATCTTCCTTCCTCAGAATACTAAAGGAGTCTTCCCTTCTCTTATATAAATTCAAATAGAAGACCAACTATGCCACTCTATTAGGATGTCCAAAAGATGAGAGTCTCCTGGCTCAGCCACAGACAATTCCACTGACATATATTTAAGAAATATCAGAACTAGAGAGTGGATAAACTCAACAGACTGAAGGCCAAAAACACTCTGTGGGCTCTGAGAACAACAACAAAAACTTAGGCTACAGAGATACCCTTACAACAACTCAACTAAGACATTCTTTGTTGGCCTATAAAGCAAAGTTAGATAGTAAATAAAGAACTAATCATTGGCAATATTTACCCTCAAAGGGTATGTCATTTGTTTTATTTATATCCAAAAATTTATACTACAAAATTAAAGCAAAATAAAATTTATAATTCCACCATGTATGTGAATAGAATTATAAAAAATATGGAATTAGGAGTTTGTGTTAATAATGATTTTTCAGGAGAACAAATTTCATAGCTGACTAAAACATAAGAAACATAAAAATGACTGTATAAACCCTGTTTCGCTACTTCATAATGGGTGGTAAAAAGTTAAGAAGAAAAATAAATAAAACCACCACCCTGGCCAAAGGTTAGAAACATTTTAAAAAATGGACTTAAATCAATATGGTTTTTATATTTTCCTTAAATACACTTTTAAATGACCTATAGTATTTTGAGACAATAAAAACAAATCTTCAGGATGCAAGCTCATTCCACATGGACAATCATTTTTCCTTACCTGGGACTAGTGTAATTGGTCTAACCGTTTGGCCTTGCTGTACGTTCAGCACAATCCCAACCTGATTCATTGCATTTTGTACAGGCCGAACATTTCTTACAGGAAATCCCTGCATTAAAAAGCAAAATGATCTTTAACATGGAGATCAGCTAACACTGGCAGAGATTGCAGTAAGGCCTACATCCAAAAAAATTCCCACACTCTTACCTAAAAGTTGTCTCTCTAGAGTTCGAGTTTTTAAATGACTAAGATGGAGAAATTTAGGAATATTGGCAAACTTTTGAGTGACAAAATATCAAAACTGAAGAATAAGCTTTGGTAGACATGAGCAAAAATGAAAACCTACTTCCTGTCTTAAGAAAATCTCAGCTTAAAAAAATTCAAAGATTGGCTCCTAAACTGCTAAAGGCATAGAAGAAAAAAAAAAAGACACTAACAGTATTCACTAGAGTGATTCAACAAACAAGTGTAAGAAATTGTTCCCAAAGGCCATTAATCCCTGGCAAATTTCTAAGAAAAGAGTTTGTAACTCAGGAAGTCAAAGGCAAAGAGGAGCATTTGTCTTTACATCCCATATTCGGCATTAGGCTTTCAACTTCAATTCACATTACATATCAAGTAAGTCATGTTTTTCTCTTCCAAAGATCGGCCTGCACTTCCCCAATTTCACATACAGACTTCCAAAAGTCAACTTACCCCATTTTAAGAGCAGCCCAAGTAAAGGGCAAGAAGCCTTGAGGGCCATGTGTTAAGGTTTCTGAATCCAATATTTCCCACTAATTTCTGCCCAGACTTAATAGCCCTCTAAGGAGTATGAAGTGGAAATTAACCAGCTGTAAGCTATGTTAGGCTTTTTATAAAAGTCAGCACCATATTACAAAACAGCAAATGAGAAAGCCAGGTCAAAAAACAGGACTTAGGACCATTTCTAATGATGCTAAAGACCTAAAGTAGAGCCTCCAAAAGTTCACATGGTCTTTCTCTCCTCTCTACCAGTCCCAGAATTCAGAGTCCCTACTCACCTGAGTAGTGATGAAAATTGGTTGTGAGGCCACAGGAGAACTAGTCACATGATTGGCATTCTGCATGACCTGGACAGGCCTCAATACTGGTTGACTAACCATTGTGCCCAGACCTGGGGCTGGATTCTGGGTTAGGATGAGCGGCTGTCCACCTTGTTGGACCAAAGAATTGCCAGCTAAAGTGTAAAAAGGAGGGAAAAATATGAATGTAATAGAAAATAAACCCACATCTTATAACATTATGATTTTAGATAAGAAATGGCGTCCTAGATATCAAAATATCCAAGATTGTCACTCAGTTCAGGTTTAATGTCACCAAACTCACCAAAAATCTAAGCTTCACCCAAATCTAAAACTAACAGAAAAAACAAGTAGTTAGGGGAAGTTCACTAACATCTACCTTATATATCTTAACTAGAGATGTCTCAACACATTATGACTTCTGTATGTCTAACGCTTTGACTCATTAAGTGACAACACAATCTCCCCACACCAAATCAGCAAAACAAAATAACATGTTTTTCTTAAAACAAAAACCAAGAACACCATATTTTAACTAGTAACACCTATTTTGTCAGAATGTAATTTGCTGCTAACCCACCTTATTTTTTTAAAAAATTGTTGAAAGTATTACATATATTCCTTCTTCCCCCCATTGATCCCTTCTAGCCCGCCCCTACTACCTAATTTTTTTTTTTAATAAGAGGAATATTCATCAAATAAGCATTAACTCAGCAAGTACAGAGACTTTAAAGAATGGCATCTCACCCGGCCGGTGCGGCTCAGGGGTTGAGCATCGACTTATGAACCAAGAGGTCATGGTTTAATTCCCCGATCAGGGCATGTCTGGGTCTCGGGCTTAATCCTCAATGTGGGGTGCACAGGAGGCAGCCAAACAATGATTCTCTCTCATCACTGATGTTTTTTTTTTTCTCTCTCTCTCTCTCCCTCCCTCCCTTCTTCTCTGAAATCAATAAAAATATATATTAAAAAAAAAGAATGGCATCTCTTCCTAGTGAGTCAAATCTCAGAAATGCAAAAGACTTTCTGAACAACCATGGTCTTAGGTATGGAAACAGAGGTTGATAGGCTGCCTTCTTTCGCTCTATGTCATCAAGACTGATAAACAAAAGACCTGGTCAAAAACTAAACAACATTAAGTAAAAATGTTGACTTAATAAGACTGATTCATTCATGAATAAATATTAATAAACATACGAATAAAATGGACTAATTGTTATTGAAATATTTTATGTTCCTTTTCATTTGTGAGAAAAGCAATTTTGTAAATGTTTTTAAGTCCTCTATATACTACATTTGGCTAAAAATTCTCAATACTATATTTTCTAATTTATAATATTCTAAAACCAGATAGAAAATTTGGGAGAGCCAATATACCTAAATCAAAGATAAAAGCAAAATATTGCCTCAACTTTTTTACCTCAAATCACCAGAATAAGATGGACTCCTCTGAACTGTATGTTCAACTTGGCAAATGGAGTCACTGCAGTTAGCTACAAAGCAAAACCAGCAGAGGGGGTATATGGGTGGCTATTAATGCGCCAACAGTGGTTTGTCCCAGTCTCCGAGAAACTGAGAGCCCACTAGTGGACTAGACCCTGACAATTACTACGCCAGCAGAGTAGTGATTATAGAGGTTGACAGATAAAAATTCCAACAAGTTATATCTATAACTATACTGGCAACTTACTGACTGTATATATTTTAAATTTAAATGTTTTGATTATGGGAAAGTTAAAGTATATATAAAAATAGAACACTATAATGAACCCCATGTACCATCACTGAGTTTCAATGATTAGCCAATCATGTTTCATCTATACCTTCCAATCACTTACTAGCGCCCATATTATTCTGAAACAAGTTCTAGATCATATCATGTCACCTATAAATATTTCAATACTAGTGGCCCGATGCACGGATTCGTGCACACTGAAAGGAAATTAATTACAGACAGTCCTCAGGTTATGTCGGACTCGACGTACGTCTTTTCATGGTTACGTCGCCATCTCCCATTTATTTATAAAAAAAAAAAGTTCCGTCATTTCGATGTATGTACATATGTGCTTTATGTATTTTATTATTTATTTACCACAAGCAAAGGTCAGGAATTGTTATCTTTCTTTTAAATTTGTTTTACTGTTTCACTTCATTACTGCTGTGTCTGTGCTCCATGTGAGTGACGTAGGTGCTTATGTAGGTGGGTTCCGACTTACGGCGAAAATTGCATTATGTCGCGCCGTAGGAACAGATCTCTGATGTAACCCAAGGACCTACTGTAGAAGAAATATTTTAATATCGCCGTGTCAGAATTGAAAGAAAATTAGTGCTTTTCTGTTGGCAAAGGACGGAGGAGTCCGCGTGAGCTACCATCGGCCATGCGGTTATTGGTGGCCCGGGTGCAGTGCTCATGGGCATGTCACCAGGCTTTTCCAGATGCAACAGAGCCTATGAGTTGAAGATGAATAAAGGTTATGATGTATGTTTTCCGAAAACTTATAACAGGATGACTAAACCCCCAGGAGCCCTACCGCATGTAACAAGCATATAGGTAACTGCAAGTGAATGAATGTTCAAGTTCTTAGCTGTGTTGTTTAAGAATTCTTCATTGCCTCAGGTGTGGCATAAGACATTTTTGGAAGGGAAAACAAAGAACTGATCAAGAAGATGTGAATTGAAGCAAATGAAAAGTAATATTTTATTTAACAGTGATCAATAAAATTATATAGAAAAAAAGAAAATTAGTAAAATGTACATGAAAATTATAAATCAATTAATAAATAAACAACAACAAAGACATATGAAAACAATAAAAAGATGATATAAAAACAAAAACATGATATAAAAACAACATCGATAAAAACAGTGACTGATAAATTGATTAAACTTATTTTAATATCTCCTTGTATACCACATTAAGAGTAAAAACACTTTCAGAGTGCTTGACTAACTTCCCTTGTGATGCTTGCTATATTTACAACTTTAACATCACACGCTCTTCGAACTGGAGAGAAAGCAACATATAACTCCATTTCATCGGAGAAATTTAGGGATAGGTAAAATTGACATGTAACACCACGTATTACATTCCATCACAACTGTGTTTGATAACTGCATCCTCATTTACTTCATTTTCACTATGAAGGCAGTTCCTACCAGTATTGGTAGTACTTGTCGATGACCGTTTTTCATACATTTTCTGTCGTCGACGTCGCTTTCTTTCGGCTTCATAGGTACGTTGTGCCAATAGTTGTTCTTCAGACATATTCTGTCGACGCCGCCGGCTTCTTTCGGCTTCAGAGATACGCTGTGCCAATCGTTCTTCTGCAGACATATTCTGTCGACGAAGTCGCTTTCTTTCAGCTGCAGTGATACGGTGTGCCAATCGTTCCTCTTCAGTCATATTCTGTCGACGACGTCGCATTCTTTCAGCATCAAGGATACGCTGTGCCAACCGTTGTTCTTCAGACATATTCTGTCTACGACGCCGGCTTCTTTCGGCTTCAGAGATACGTTGTGGCAATGGTTGGTCTTCAGACATATTCTGTCGAGGAGGACGCGGCTTTCTTTCAGCTTCAGAATGTCAACAAAAACAACCAAATTTACGATCGACAATGACAGATTGAAACGCACGCATGCAATTGGCGCCAGCGAGAGCTTTGAAACAGAAGTTTTTAGGGGTGAAAAGACAGGTTTAGGAAATTTTAAAAAGCTGCAACAAGTACATTTCCATAGACTGAGGGAGCTGGAAACAGCAGAAGGTCTATATTTACAGAATAAAGGGAAGAAAGCCCTTCATCCAGAAGGAGAAGGCCTAAAGGGGACTGGAAAACACTAAGGGAGAAGGGGAGGAAAATCTCACATGTCCCATGTGAAATTCGACCTTTTAGCTCAAAAGTTACTATAATAACCAGTCTAAGGAAATAGTGACCAATCAGAAAGGATATCAAGGCACAGGAAAAGGGAACTCAGTGGGACCCTTTCCCCATTCCCACATGGGAGTCTGTGCTGTGAAATTCTTTCCCCTTCCCCACGTGGGAATCTGTACTTGGTCTTCAATAAATTTCCACCTTTGCTATACCATCTTCTGTCCGTGGATTCATTCTTCGACTCAGACGGACAAAAAACCCGGGAGCCATTCTGCCCAGGGGAACACTGCGTGTTCCAGTCCAAAATTCCCACTTCAGCTTTATATGTATTGCACATGTGCGAGTCAACTTAGCCTTTTATATCTATACTTGAGGCCCTGTGCATGGATTCGTGCACCAGTGGGGTCCCTTGGCCGGGCCTGTGGGGATTGGGCCGAAACCGGCTCTCTGACATCCCCCGGGGGGTCCCAGATTTTGAGAGGGCGATTCTCAGGTGAGGCACCCCAGAATTGGGTTCCCTCCTCTCTGGTTCCAGGTGTGTCACCCAAGAACCACAGCTGCCAAGTCACCGCAGCTCGGCAGCTCCTGCGTTGAGTGTCTTCCCCTGGTGGTCAGTGTGCGTCATAGCTACCAGTTGGAGGGAAGGATGGACCTTTAGCCTTTCATATATATAGATAATAACTTTAAAAGACAACTTAAAAAAGAGTGAATATCAACACCATTATCACTCCAAAAAATGTAAGTCTGTGACTATAGTTGATAAATGTAATTGAAATTTGCTTTGAGTAGAACTTAAATGTTCTCACTCCTTCCCCTCCAAAAGATAAATATATGAAGTGATGGATGTGTTAATTAACTAGATAGTGGAAATCCTTTCACAAATGTATGTCTAATCACCATGATGTACATTTTAAATATGTTGCAATTATATTTGTCAATTATACTAAAGTTAAATATATAATACTTTAATATCAAATACCAAGTCAGACTACAAATTGATGATTGTAATTTTTAAAAAGAGTTTGTTTGAATCAGGTTACAAAAGGTTTCACATAAAGTGTAACTGATGGTCATAAGCCTTAAGTCTCTTTTAATCCACACATTACACATCTATCTCTTTTATGCCTTTCCAATTTATAGTTGAAAAAATATTGGCTAAACAAAATCATGTATTTTCTATTTATTATTTTCACTGCTAGGGTTAAAGAAAATAAACTGTTATTTATTTAAGCCTAAAAATTCTTAAGATAATGACTGAACTCAACATTCCAACTAAATACAGGGTGGAAATGTTTTGCATTTATGTGAAATCAACCAATATTTGCAAGTCTCAAAGGACAGGCATGGTTCTCATAAAATCTGCACAAACTCTACTGCTATGAAGAATGCTGTCCTGGCTGAAAAGCTCAGTTGATCAGAATGTCCTATTGATACAACAAGGTTGCCAGTTTGATTCCTGGTCAGGGCACATAAAAGAAGCAGTGAGCCCGGCCAGCATGGCTCAGTGTTGAGCATCGATCTATGAAACAGAAGGTCAATGATTCCCTCACATCACTGATGTTTCTATCTCTCTCTCCCTCTCCCTTCCTCTCTTCTGAAATCAATAAAAACATATTAAAAAAAGAAAAAATATCCCAGGGTGAAGATTAACAAAAAAAAAAAAATCTTTATTTTAATTATATTTTAACATTTGATCCACATAAAAGCTATAATAATAAAAGTAATATGCTAATTAGACCAGAGAGCCGAACAACCTTCCAGACGTCCTTCCAGACAAAACCGGGGCTGCGAGGGCCGAGCCCCTTGCACAAATTTCATGCATCGGGCCTCTAATATTACATAAATTTAGGTTATAAAGTATAATGTTAAAACAAACACAACCCAGTTTAGGACTAGAGCATTCTAAACATTATTAATGTGCCCCTACTCTTTTCCAAACCCTGGCTTCCCTCCCACATATACAAATGTTTCTTAAAATCAAGAGTCAAGTAAATGCTTCTTTATGAAGAGAGGGCAAGGAAAGTAAGAGAAACAGGTAAATTATAAAGGTCAATCAATGCTCCCCCAAAGGGACAGTCTTTTAAAATATAATTACTGGAGAAGGTGGCTATTGATAACTAGGAGCCAGAATGGTTTTAAAACTGGTTTAAAAGGAGGGTGCAGAGTAGGAAAACAAACAAACATTTTTTTAGCTTTCCAAAGAACCTAGTACACTAAGTGAAACAATATTAAATTGCTTAAAAGTTATTCTCCCTTGCTATGTTAACAATGTAATAAGTAGACAATATACCAATATAATTAAACGGAAGGCTAATGGGAACTGGGTTGTTAGGAGGGAATATTTTTTATCCACCCTATTGTGATGTCTAATCCCTACGCTCATGCTACCATTCCAAGAGTATCTGATAAAAAAGTTACAGAAAAAAGGGAAGACAAATTGGACCTATTAATGAGCGCTTATCCATGCATGAACAGGTTTTGGAAGAATACACAGATATATGTAACTGTGGTTTCTAGTCTATACCCATTTTTTTAAAACCATGAACTTGGATTATTTTATTTATAATACTAGAGGTTTCTGAAATAAATAAAATCAACTTATATACATTATATATTTATAATTTTGTACACAGGCCCTAGGTGGGCTCAGAATGGAGTCCATTCAAGGAGTCAAGGAGACTAGGTTATGAGATGCCTTGGAATCCTTGGATGAAAGTAAAGTTTAGCTAAACTGATTGCTAACAGAACTGTGACAATTATTTTGAGAGAAACCAAGAAAAGCAGTAAAATATAGTGGAAAGGCCACAGGCTTTGAAATCTAGATAATTCAAATCTAGTTTAGTCACTTATCAACTATTTGACCTTAAGCAAATTACTTAGACCAGCGGTTGCCAACCGGTGGTCCGTGAGGTCCGAAAGGTTGGCGACCGCTGATTTAGACTATAGGCTTTGGTTTCCACATCTGTAAAAATGAGAGAATTTTCTAGGTAATGGTTCCTCATCTTTATTTGAGAATCCCTATATATAAGTTGGAAAAAATGCAATGGATTTTCCACATGATAAAAATAAATTTTCAGTTCCCAAAGATTGAAAAATACCTATGGAAATTATAAAGATTTCAGTTCAATAATACTTAAAGTTGGCAATCATATGGGGAAAGAGCTACTGGTGGGCACTTTTTTAAAGCCACCAATTAGGGCAATTTGGCACTGTCCATCAAATTTGAAATGCCTGATGTAGCAATCTCACTTTATACTGCAGATATGCTTATATAGTGATATAATGCCTGAGAATGTTCACCACAATCATTTGTAATCACAAAAAATTGGAACTGTAATAAATATTAGGGAAATAAATGGTTATATTCAAAAGTAAGAACGCCATATGCACTTCTAATGGAAATATGAACTGACACAACATTTCCAATCCAGGAAAAAGAATTGACCAAAATCCTTAAAATTGTGATGATCTTTGACATTTAGTTCCATATTCTCAGAACCAACGATGTGAGAATAGAAAGACAGAGATGTTCAATAGCTCTTTAAAAGAACAATATATACTCTTACAACCTATTGTTAATAAAAGTTAACCAAGCAAAGGGAAATAGTCATCAAAAATATGTCAGATAAATATTTAGTAAAGTGAGAAGACATTTATTACATATTGAAGGAAAAAAAAGCAAAGAGTAATATAGAGTCTGTATGTTCCATTTTTGTAAAAAAGTAAATCACTACATATAGCATATGGAAGTATACAAAAGTACATATATATATATAGAAAAACAGTTACAAATTGCTATATCCAGAAAGTGGGATTATAGCTTTAAAATTTTTCTTCCTTTATTTTTTTCTGCCTACCTTTTCTATAATGCACATATTATTCTTGTATGAATAAAGTTATTTAATTTTTAAATAAAATAATTAAGAATAAAGTCCTTGCATATTAACATAACCAATGGATATGGACACTGGAGTGGTGGGGGCTTGTCCTGGGGGGTGGTAGTGGCTGAGGAGGGGTCGATGAGGGGAAAAAGGAGATATATGTAATACTTTAAACAATAAAAAATAAAAAGAATAAAGTCCTTTGCAGCAATGCAGTGATTCTATGAAGATGCTTATTCTAGTTTTTAATCTTGAGCTATAACTTGCCAATAACTCATCTTCAGAGTGTAGAAATAGATATCAGACATGAAATAAAAACCAACACTGTATAGTCTCTCTAGTTAATAAATATACTAAAAACACTACTCTTTCACCATTTCCTTCAGGTAGACAACAGCCCTGTCCTATTTTCCATACCCAGGACCCAATAACCAAATGAATCTACCAGAGAAAAAGACGAAACAAATCTGCTCTGGGAGGATTCTTAACAAACTAGTGGGACTCTTCTCATTAAAAAACAACAACAAACAATCAAACCGTAACAACAACAAAAACTCAACCCAGATCTCTTCAATAGTTACAAATTTTGGGTTTACATTTTCTCTCCTAGAAATTATCAGCAGCAAGAATCCGCTGCACTCGGACTTGAAACACCATCATCAATTCAGCACTAACTCAGAAGGAACAGCACCACCTACTGAATCACTTCCCCAACAGAAAATCATTACTAAATTCACTCTCCAACTACTAGCACCACATCAGTACCCAAAGCTAAACAGGCACAGCTAGCTGTTCCTAAGACTTTTTATATTCTCTCTTCCCTCTAACCCAGGAAGAATTTCCCAATAATCCCACTTACCATTGTTGTTGGCAATTAGTGTGACCAGAGTCTTCTTTGTACTGTCGCTGTTCTGTGCCCCGCTGCTACTAACGGTGGTGGATGTAGGGAGGTGCCCAGCAGCAGAAGCATGGGCAGCGATGGGCACTGGAGCTGAGACTGGCTGCTGGCTCACAGAAACTGTGGGGAAGGGAGGCACAGTCACTGGAAGGCGGGGACAGGTGACACTGAAGGATACTGTTCTCATCTTCCCCTTCCATCTCACTGCAGGTCTCTGTGCCCAAAAGTTTTCCTGCATTATTTGTAAATCCAACTGCTGATCTATTTCTCCTCCTATTTGCCCCTCACTCCACCAATTAAACACAATGCCACCTTTTCTGCGTCTCATTTCCTAATTAATGAAGTTAAATCACAAGCTCACTGAACCAGGATTTTAATGTGTTGCTTATACAGGTCAAGCAAACCTCTAGGGACGTTAAAGCTTTATTAGCACCACAACCAGTATTCATAACCATGCACAGTAAGTCATCCACAAGATGCTAAACTGTGTCCTGTTTCAGCCCAAATCAATGCTACCTTCAGTTCCCAAGGCAAGGAAGATAAAAATAAAGAGAGCAACAGGCACAATTTGGCAGGGGAGGTGGGGGGAGGACTACCACCCACTTTCTGAATTCAGGGCTAAAACTTGACCCTTCAACATCACCTTTTTGAAAGAGAAGCTAATAAGCCTAAGTTTGTAACCTGTCCTTGAAGGCAGATACAAAGCAAATTCTGCTCATCTCACAAATGAAACTAAATTCAAGTAAAAGAAAAAAAAGCCAAGACTATGCGAACTTGTTTTTGGACTGCATGCTTAAATGGGCACTGACATACATCATCAATGTTGCATTCTTATTTATACATCATTTGGTAAAAGGATTGCTAGATGTTTGGTAAATATTGGTTAATACAACTCTCAATGTTTTTAATGAATTCAATACAGTGTGTCTAACTTTATGTATGAGGAAACGGAGGCACATACAAATTAGACACTGGAAAATAAAGGTAGCCACAATGAGGCGTCCCTGGATTATTAAAGTCCTTCCCCACCTCACACTTTCTTAACAAAAATGTCCTTCAATTAAGTCAACTTAAGCAATGTAAGATCAAAGAGTTTTTGTTACCTGTAGTAGTTTTATCCACTGAATTATAATCTTCAACTACAGAATCCTCAATGACATCACTGATTTTCTGCCATGGCTCCAGCTCCTCCTCCTCACATTCCATAAACAGGTCGGTGTCCGCCATGCTACAAAAAAATAAGAAATAAAATAAGATATTGACCTCAGAATGGAAAAAAAGTGTTTTATACCAAACACTGAATCTGACTGTTGAATCCATTGGTAACCTATCCCCTTGTACTACCCTCTACCATGTCCTCTAACCTACCCTATTTCCAAGGGTCCAAAATTATTATAAATACTATTTTCTTTATTACTGAGTCTTTTTGCAACCTCTTAAATTTTGCACCCAAGATGAGAATCTCATTTCTCTCACACTAGTCCCAGCCCTACTACTGTCTAGTACTCCCCCATAGTTTTGAAGTCAGCTATGTGCTTCTTTTATTTTAAATTTTTGTAAATATATTTTTATTGATTTCACGGAGGGAGGGGGGAGAGAGAGAGAGAGAGAGAGAGAGAGAGAGAGAGAGAGAGAGAGAGAAACATCAATGATGAGAGAGAATCATTCATCGGCTGCCTCCTGTACATCCCCTATTTGGGATTGAGCCCACAACCCGGGCATGTGCCCTGACTAGGATTCGAACCGTGACCTCCCGGTTCATAGGTCGACACTCAACCACTGAGCCACTCGGGCCAGGCATCAGCTATGTGTTTCTTTTAAAAACAAAGTCTACATCTTTGCAATGTAAACAAAGCTATTGCTATTCTGCCCTCCAATATTAGTTGACTAAAGGTCAATTTCTTTGACTTGGAATGGGAGTAGCATTACTACTCCATGTTCAAACAAAGCCTTTAATGCAAAGGTTCTCAAGCCCTTAGTATCTCAGTAAAATTTTCACCACACCACCAAGCCAAAAATAAAACAAAGCAAAACAACCAACCTGAGTTAAGTAGTTAGGGCCATACAATATGATAGCATTAGTTTGCGAGATACCCAACTAGATGGCATTGTTCTCTTGAAATTTTAAAAAATCCAGACAATGCCCCAGTGAGTTAACTAGCTACAGTCAAGTGCCCAGTTTTAATGGGTAAAGTGCTTATTAGCTTGCTTCTAAGTAGTCTCTAATATTCTTCTTAATTATTTGTTTTCCCAAAACCACAAAGGGGAGAATGAGCAAAAAAAGAAAAAGATCTAAGATACCAATGTAAATTTTCTTAGTTTCATATTTAATTTACATATATTAAAGACAATGCTAGCCATAAATTGAATTTAAAAGAAACCAAGTCCATATCACAGTCATTCTTTGAGCCAAGACTACACACAACTGTATTTTCCAGTCTAATTCCACTGAAAAAGGTAACACTCTGAACTTTCCCCTCCTAACTACTTTTGTTTGTTTTGTTAATCCTCACCTCAGGATATTTTTCCCATTGATTTTTAGAGAGTGTAGAGAGGTGGGAGGAGAGAGAGAGAAAGAGAAAGACACAGAGAGGATAGCATCCGAATGCATCCCCTGCAACCCAGGTTTGTGCCCTTGACCAGGAATTAAACCTAGCACCCTTCTAACCACTGAGCACACTAGCTATGGCCCTAATTACTTAATTTTATACATTGTTCCTTGCCGTATGACTTTCTGAGAGTCAAAGGCAACAGATGATTAATGTATAAATATCAAACCCAAAAGAATAAATACATCTGTGGATAACCTCTATAGATGGTTTTTAAAAATCTTCTTTCAGCTCTGACCAGCTGCAAGCAAATTCTCCATACACATGTTGAGCAATCTATAGAAAATTTTCCTTCAAAATAAATAGAGCTGCCCTGACCGGTTTGGCTCAATGGATAGAGCGTCAGCCTGCGGACTGAAGGGTCCCAGGTTCGATTCCGGTCAAGGGCATGTACCTTGGTTGTGGGCACATCCCCAGTTGGGGGTGTGCAGGAGGCAGCTGATCGATGTTTCTCTCTCATTGATGTTTCTAACTCTCTATCTCTCTCCCTTCCTCTCTGTAAAAAATCAATAAAATATATATAAAAAAAAATAAATAAATAGAGCTATCTGACCTAGACTCTTATCTCAGAACATGATCATTACTTTCATTTCACCATCTCTAGCTCAGAGTACAAAAATTTAACTCTGTTGGAAAGACAGGCCATGTTACAATAGATATCAACCTAAATACTTCAGTCAAACTTTAAAAGTGAAAAATGCAAACTTAGCATCTTTCTTGTAGTTTTCATTATCAAAAAGAAATCTTCATTAATATGATGAAATACTGTATTTAATACCTCCACCAAGATGCTGAAGAAAGAAACATCATTATTCTCTTTGGTCTTTCAAGTGATCGATCCATGGCATACAGTCACCTTTCGACTATTTTTGACCAAAGACAGGAATTATTATATATGTGGTACTAAAATGTCAGAATCTTCCCGAACTATCATTCTACTCATGTTTAACCTCTTTCCACACCAAACCTTTAACTTAATTTTACACACACACACACACACACACACACCACTCCTGGAAATTTTTTCTTAAAAGAGGAAGGGAGAGGAAGAGAGATAGAAACATCAATGATGAGAGAGAATCACTGATTAGCTGCCTCCTGCATGCCCCTCCCACTGGGGATTGAGCCTGCAACCCAGCTATGTGCCCTGGAATTGAACCATGACCTCCTGGTTCATAGGTCGACATTCAACCACTGAGCCAAGGCTGGCCGTCAAAAGCAAAGCATGTTTTAAAATATTTATTGTAGAAAGTATTACATATGTCAAAAGCAAGCATTTAAATGTAACTTCCGATTTATAGGAAATACAGCAATAGAGGAATAAGTAGCACCACAAAAAAATAATGAGATAAATCCGGAAAGTGAGACCTTCTATTTGGAAATAATCAGACAAATGCAGAATATGAAATATTATATATGACATGGTCTCCTTTAAAATGTCAATGCCACAGACACACACACACACAGTGAGAAGACCAAACTTGGTGAAAAGAAACTAGACATAACAAAATGCAACACGTGAACCTTTATTGGATTCTGGTTCATAAAAATACTATAAATAACATTATGAGACAACTGGAGCATTTGAATATAGACTACAGGCATACCTTGTTTTATGGTGCTTCACAGATAACTGCATTTTCTACAAGTAGAAGCTATATGGCAACGCTGTGTTGAGCAAGTCTATTGGCACCATTTTTCTAACAGTCTCAGATGATGGTTAGCATTTTTCAGCAATAAAGTATTTTAATTAAGGTCTGCACATTGTGTTTTTAGACATAATGTTATTGTACTGTTTATAATAGATTACAGCATATTGTAAACATAACTTTTATATGCACTGGGAAACCAAAAAAATTGTGTGACTTGCTTTATTGCGACAGTCTGGAACCAAACCCACATTATCTCCAAGGTATGCCTGAAGTTACTGGATGCCATTTGGGAATTTTTTAGAAAGGATAATGGTATTAGTGTTATGTAGCGGATACATGAAATATTTAATGGAAATGTTATGACTATGACTTTCAACTGGTTCAGCAAATATACAGATATTTTGGCATTTTTTAAAGAGACATCAAATATGCCAATATATTAAAAATTGTTGCATCTAAGCCAGTGATGGCAAACCTATGACACGCGGGTCAGAGGTGACACGCGAACTCATTTTTTTGGTTGATTTTTCTTTGTTAAATGGCATTTAAACATATAAAATAAATATCAAAAATATAAGTCTTTGTTTTACTATGGTTGCAAATATCAAAAAATTTCTATATGTGACACAGCACCAGAGTTAAGTTAGGGTTTTTCAAAATGCTGACACGCCGAGCTCAAAAGGTTCGCCATCACTGATCTAGGCCCTGGCCGGGTAGCTCAGTTGGTCAGAACATCGTCTGATACGGCAAAATTGTGGATTTGGTCCCAGCCAGTTTGGCTGTGGTAGAGCCTTAGCTTGTGGACCAGCCTATGGACTGAAGGATCTTAGGTTCAGTTCCCAGTCAAGGGCAAGTATCTCGATTGCAGGCTCAATCCCTGCCCCATAGGGGCATGTATGGGAGGTAGCCAATCGATGTTTCTCTCCACACCCCCCCGCCCCCCCCCACCCCCCGCATTCCCTTCCCTTCCCCTCTCTCTTAAAAAAAAAATGTGGGTTTGATCAATCCCCAGCAGAACACATAATGTTTAAGTGAAACAACAAATCGATGCGTTTCTCTCTCAAAAAACCCCCACACATCAATAAATAAAAAATGTTTTTTTAATGTTAGGTGGTATAGGTACTCCTTATAGTATTTTTACCTTTTGTACATTCATGAAATTTTATTAGTAAAAAGCTGAGGGATCAAATGAAAAGGTCTGTGAATCTAATGTATAATACGGTGACTATAGTTGATAACACTGTATCGTATATCTGAAATTTGCTAAGTGAGTAGAACTTAAAATGTTCTAAATAAATAAATAAATAAATAAATGTGAGGTGATTGATGGACATGTTGACTAGATAGGGGGAATCCTTTCACAATATATACGTTTATAAAATCACCATGATGTATACTTCAAATATCTTAAAGTTTTTGGTCAACTGTACCTATGAAATGGAAAAAAAAAAAAAAGCTGGGGAGAAAAACTACCTAACTCATATTTTGGTTGTGATATTTTATACTATAATATTCTGTCATCTTTTTGCCATTTACTAAGTCAAACTGGTAGCTTTGTTGGTTGAACTTTCTGCTAACCTCTTCTTATTTCTGGGAGCAATTTTCATACAGATTGTATGCACATTTCTTAAGATATAGCACAATAATTAAGTAACATTAGAAAAAAGAAATTAATCTAAGGTGGGTCAGAGGTAGTGTAAAATAAGATGAACATTGCCATGTTCCATTAACCCAATCCATTATTCCCCATCTTTTTTATTGTTGTTAATCATCACCTGAGGATATTTTCCCACTGATTCTTAGAGTGGAAAGGAGAGGGAGAGACAGAGGGAGAGAAACATCGATGTGAGAAAGACACATCGATTGGTTGCCTCCAGCACGTGCCCTGACCAGGGCTGGGGATCGAGCCTGCAACTGAGGTACATGCCCTTGACTGGAATTATACCCACAACCCTTTAGCCTGACA